GAATCAACAACACGCAGACTAGCAAAATTCGGACATGCAGGCTTACATAAGTTTCAAAGTGGTAGAACAAGTACGAATCATTTGTCGAAAAACTAGGACAGCATCCTTCCGTGTAGATGCTTACAACTCATCGATGGTGAAGCAGACTTCCCAAGTCAATGTACCTACTTAATCCATACTTGTTCCAAGGACGCTTTAACTAGATGTTAGATCTTACCCACAGCTGCAAGGAAGAAGTTAAGGTAACCAGCTGTGCAAAATCATCGACACAACATCGCTGGTCGTCTAAAGGAGTTTTGTAACTCTACTCGTCATTTCCTCAGGTTACTCCACGATTGAAGGTTTTGGTACAGAATTGCAGAGAGTGGGGTTCTGACGAGAGAATGGTTTTTAGAAAGAGCGCGAACATGACAAACATGGCCAACATGTTAACTTCAACAACTGCCCGATCTCACGAGGAGTCTGGAGCCGAATGCAGACATCAGTTGCGAAAGTAACGCATTTCATAATTTCAAGCACTGACAAGAATGTTGGCTATTGGCAACTTTAGATGTCGCCGATGCAGGACGTTTTTATTTTATTTTTCCAAAAGACAGAAGTAAGCTCTTCGAAACCATGGGACACACACACCCACAGACCCACAAGAAAAACTTTCTATTAGGAGACGATTTGTAAAATGTCGGTCATGCGATTGATAGCTTTTTTTCAGAGGAAGAAAATATAAATTTCGATGAAAGTTGAATTTCCCTTGGAATCCTATTTTATGTTAGTTTCATAGTAAAGAGTCGTCATTCGTGGGATATGATATGAGATCGATGATTTTCTATTGTTTTGATACTACGGCCGTCACACAAACCGATAATAATGTAATTTATGTAATTAATTTTTTCCCTCTTTCTCCGTCTGAGGGGATGTAGCTCAGTGGTAGAGCGCGCGCTTTGCATGCGCGAGGTCCGGGGTTCGAAACCCCGCATCTCCACTTTTCGTTCTTCTTTATTTCCAGGTGAGTTAAGTTTTAATTTTTTTTTTCGTTGCTTATCTTCTTTTTTCATTTTTTTTTCTTTTCTATTTTCAACCCAAATGAAATCGGTAGCCTGGATGAATTTAAGTTCGATTATGACCTTCGTCTACAGGGATAGTAATACAAATGAAAAAATTACGCGCATCAGATTGGCTGAAAACGAGTGCCTTCTCGTGTATTAAGAGTGCAAATTGTAAAAAGCGCGCGCACGCTTTCAAAATTTCGTCTCTCTTGACTGTCTTTGATGTTTTTTCGTGTATTTTATTACCAAGTAAGAACATAATTTCTCTGCCAATTTGGTGCGGTAAGCACTTGTTAGACTCGTTAGTTGTTTAAAGACTAAAATTGCACTTGCCCTACAGGCTCGTGCAATTTTGTTGTCTTCGAAAAATCTACTCGTGCATATTAACACCAAATTGCACTCGAAATCATGTTATTGCCTTGACAAATCGTCTGGTACAGGAAAATTTCCTATTAAACCAAAGAGTTAACACACTTTGATAAGGATGCCTTGTCATCAATGACATTTCTTGGCGACACAAACTGATATGATAGATGAGTCTTATTTATGCTATGTACTTGGACTGAAAATAAAAAATGCATAACTTTTTTAAAAGACTCAGCTGAGTACGTATAAAGTCTTCCAATTTCTGTCATGTTTCCCTCCCTCGCGCAAAGTCGGCTCTGGGTTAAGAGAAAATCACAGATATTTGATGAATTCGATAACCTTTCGATCACTTCGTTATGACATTATCATCGTGTTTTATCATAAAAACCAACCGAATGCATAATGATGTGGTGTTTCACACAAATGAAACAGTTATTAAAAGGCCCGCTTCAAGAGGGTAGCAGTTAAAATAATTACTTCTCAAAGACTTTTCATTTCGCATAAGATACATCGCTCACTCAGGCAACGTATCCGATTAATGTACGCAAAAGGATGTCCTAGGAAGCATGTCACACTTTATAACAGTCATTTCAATATTCAAGGCGGCCAGGCCTATCTCAAAGAGCACTTTGAATGAAAAATAGAGTATTTTCTTCACTTGAGTGTAGGAACATGAATTATTCTGCTTAAATTATCAAAGAAAAAAATTGATTTATCATTGTGGGTCGACTACTTAAATGTTCGAAATTGTATAACCACGGATGGATGTTAATTTTTTCCATTGTCTTTGAAAGGAGAACAATATTACACAGATTAATCATGCAGCTCTTTCTCCGAAAAAAAACTGACCATCAGGCTACAATGCTACAAACGTTAATAGAAGAAATTACCTCAGCAAATGAATTACAAATGCATCACCTCGTAAACCGCTGCTGTAATTCCTTTGAAAAGCTGTCAACGGTGCGCAATTTGATGTAAAAAAAAAACGATGTGCAATTTATACGTCGCCGCACCATGGGTATTCCCGTTTTTCATCACCAAAAATTGTAGTCTTGCAACATTTAGCAGTATCTGAATTGCAGAAAAGATGAATCGAAAACCAACTAACACCCATTACTTGAAGTTAATTGAATGCACAACTCTGTAATAGTCCGGGTTGTCAAGGATACAGGTCTGGCGAAGAAAAATGTTTTGTTTAGTTTACTGGTGTGAATTGTTTTAAGAATAAGTAGGTGAATTTTTAATGTAAGTGTTTCAGTCATACTGCGTAAATTGCGAAGGGGTTCTGTAGTCTCCTGTGGCTAAGTGCTGTAGGCCATACAATTCATGAGAACTCCACCTCGGATAGTTATCGAGAATAACGGAGTCTATACTGCCTCAGTTAGAAATACGATCTTTCATGTTACGGGTAGAGCGCATTTCGATTGAGTGTCGTAAAACTGAAACCCGCAAAGTAATAACAACAGCCAGATAAAAGACGGAAAAAACCTTTAGAGCTAACAAGAACCTAAGGTGAAAACAAGAAAAATTCCCCAAGCGCGGGAAAACGCGGCTGACCATGTAGCGGTTGGTTTTTAGTTTTTAATCTGATTGGTTGACAAAGTAGCACACGTTTTCGGGACCAATCACGTAACGACTTAGACAAAACCGCCACCAACAGAGCATAAATTAGCGTGTAATATGATCAAAATATCCAACATTCTAATCTGTTTTTGTAGAATTCCTCAACGCTCTATCGCCAATGCTACAATTGTATTGGCTATGTCGCTCTTGATAGAAAACTAGTAGACGGAGTAGACAGATGTTGTGAGGTGGTTAAGTAAATATAAAACATAAGCCTGTCTTGTTGGTAAGTTTTAAACGACTAGATAGATTTAAACCAAAATAACTGGATTCTTTGTACTCGATCTTTGCGCGTAATGATGAAATCAAGCCTCGCCCTCATTAGCTATCACGTGACAGAAATCTCTAGCTTATAATTTAATCTAATTGACCTAGTTATACAACCAGAATATGATTTAAATGATTAACTCATGCTTTTTTAAAATGTGATTCTTGAGTTTGCTCGAAAGTCACAGTCTATATAAACATATCACTTTAGCACATATCATCCTAGTGAAACTGTTAGACATCACGTACGAATTAGCAGGTATATTTTGGTAATTAAATGAACACAAAAGAGGATGCATAAAAATTAAATTGTATTTATTGTAATTTGTGGACTGTTTACATACATAATGTACAGATTATAAATTTTTTGCGCACCAGCTTATATAAATAGTTTGTAGAGGATTGGTAACCATTCATAAGGTCGCCACAGTCGAAATATAAATAATATAAAAGCTAGATAAAAATACATTTAAAATACATTTATTTTTGCCATAAGTCTCAAAATACCTCATATTTTATGTAAACAATTATATTAAAAAAAACTTTCCAAGGAATGAAAGTCTGGTACTAAAAAGGAAAATTCTTGGACTTAACATAACTAATGATATACGGGATAATAAAAGCACTCGCAAGCTTATTAAAAAATATTTTTGACCACTTGTCGTTGGTCTTCGTCGCCACTTTTAATAACTGCTTGCATAGAGTATTACCCTTAATAATATAATATTCATGAGGCATTTATATAGTTTAGGACGCAAAATGTATTGCTTTGAAATGAAATCCAGAGCTAAAAAATGGGATGCAAATAACCTTTTCAAAATGTTCGTGTAACTTCCTTTATCAATAAAGGGCAAAATTACTGAGCGCTGATTGGTTGAGAGAGAGGGCATTTTTTCTTAATCGAGGGCATTTTTAGTAATCAAGAGAGGGCATGATTACCTTGTTCAGTTAAAAGCACTTTGTTGTTTTTCTGTTGGCAGAAACGCTCTGTTGAAATGAGCTTTGTTTTCTAGACTTTTGGCAGTGTATCACGACACAGTTTTGGAGAATAAAATTTCATTGAATCGATTGGTCAGTTCAATTTGATTGATGATTTGCCGTAGCGCTAAACAGGCTTCCCAGATAAAAATAGACTGCGCGCGTGATTTTCCTTCGTATAAATTTTGCCCTTTATTGATAAACAAGTAATCCCATGAGACCTCGTACTATTAAGGATTAATTGCACTTGAGTTTTCAAAATTTTGGAAAATTTTGAAAACTCTCGTGCAATTAATCTTTAATAGTACTTGGCCTCATGTGATTACATATACTAATCTTACGATTCGTCTTTGCAACACGTACTGTCCGTAAATATGAACTACTCTGTACAATACATAGTATCGTGAGTTATTTGAAAAGACACTGAAAAAATGCGTTTTCTGATAAATTAGGAGAAGGTGAGGATAATTTTCCTCCCCTCAAATAAATAATACATAAATATATAAATACAAATGGTACTTAAAAATTCAAATTTATAATTCATACTTTAACATATTCCTTATCTTACAATTAAAACATTTACTCTCTTGGAAAGTATTCACCTTTTCTTCTTACTTGATAAATCTAGGTGTATTAAATAACCTTTTTCAAATCCGTTGTTATAAATACTTTTTTATAAGTAGACCTAGCTTAAATAAGTTACATTTTCACAGCGATACTTTTTTAAGGAATTGAACTGAGTGAAAAATACGTCACAAACCGTGCTGCCTTTTGGGAGAATGTCGTGTTGTGCGGTTGTTTCACTTTGCCACTTCGTTTAAAACCAAGATACCAGGTTGAGTTTTTGATCGATTGAAATGTTCTGTATCCGGAGAATGTGTCCTCTGTGAATAAGCACTGGGTAAAAATATTTCCGTGCACCTGCAGAAAACAAATGAACAGGAATAGCAAAAATTAGTCAGAAATCGAGAAAAATTTGTGGAAAGAATCCATGTAAGGGCTTTAAGTAAGCCCTCACCAGATTTCCTCACTCGTTCTCTTGTCCGCTCTGTGATTGGTCAAATTCTCAACCGATCAAATGCAAATCAAAAACCAACAGCTACTGGGTCACTCATTTTTTTCCAGCGCGTAATCCACGCAATTTTCGTTTTTTTTTTCAGATCCAGTTGATTCCCTGTAATGTTAACTCCTGAACTTAATAGCTATCCATGAATTATTTTGTTTTGGAGTGACACTCAATCCAAACGCACTTTAGATATTCGTGTTACAAGGTGTGAAAAAAATAAGAAAATGAAAAGGAAAGAAAACTTACTTCTACTGTAAGGTCTCCGGCGTCGTTGACACAGAGATAGGAATTTTCTGTCACGGATCGTATTCTTACGTATACAGAACCGTTGTAACGTTTCGATTCCAACTCTAGCTTGGCTAAGACGGAAAAAAAACAAAATCAAAATCCTGACTTAACCTTTAAAAAAGATACATAATCAACTTAGTTTATTAAACCAAATTATCCTATAATCCAGTAAATGTTGGTTGACCTGTGGCGAATCGACAAAAACGATTTTCACATCGTATGATACAAAACAGTTGTTATATTTTGCGAGGCAGATTTGAGGTTCTTTCTGGGCGTATATGAATCACGGATGAGCTTTAATCTGTTTTAAAATAATCTACCATTACTAAAACTTCCTGAGCCGACGGAAGTAGGTACACAAAGAACAAAACGGCACAAATTAGCTCCGACGTGAGGAAAGCGCCCCAGCAACGCTAAGCTAAGAATGTCTCAAACATTCCCGAACCCTTGCTAACATCTTTCTGCGGCATCAAGATCTCCCCCTAAAAGGATGTAAATATTGTGTGCGTGAAAGGGTGTTCTAAAATTTCCCCTCCCACGTTTGTGCCCAAGAATTCTTTAGATTCCAAACATGTTGGACCGTTGCAAACAACAACACGAACGAGGCTTTCATCTGTCTTTTAAAGGTGCAGACATTTATTCAGCCATTAAGGTGCTGAAAACACCCACAAGTGCTCAGAGTTGATAACCTTTAATGCTGTTAATTCAATCAACAGCGCGATAAGGAAACTGGACAAAAAGAGAGACCGAAAATCGCGAATGGGCAAAATTAAGTTATAAAATTTGATACTTTCTTTATTTTGACGATTATTCTTGTGTTTGTATATTGATAATCTTGTTTATAAACAGTATTTGTAAAAAATGATTTGATCAGGTTGAGGTATTTTCGAATGTGCTACCCAAATAATCCAAAAGTGAAAACAAAAATTATTCTCTATACGAAAAAAATTGTCCCGCACAAGGATATAACTCTACTAAGTGAGAGAGCTGTCATATTCCACAATAACGACTTATATGGATAAATCAATTTTCTTTGGTTTAGTTTTCAGCCAAACTTGCCGCCGTTAATTCATTCTTTTCATTTGCACATTTGTCGGCAAAATTCATTCACACAGGACAGATGTACGCGCCGCTTTTGGCGGGAAAAAAAAACCTATTGATCTTTGCGGCAGGTCAGAAAAACCGCCACTTGAGCTCTTGTTGCTCTGTCTCTTTAATACGGATTTAATGGCAATATTAGAAAGCTTAACTGTCTCCCTGAGGTCCACTTGATTTCGCAACGCTCAGGTGCTTGCCAAATGCAGCGGTTCCAGACGAATTTTAACGCATAATCTTTTATGGCTGAATGCGCTTTTGTATCAATTTTTGCTCAGCAGCCGCAACAAGTGCTAGATTTGTAAGCCATTCACAGAGCAACTTTTATCGGCCTCTTGCTTTGAAGTTACGCCGAGTACAACGGTATTTTGTCATACGAAAGAATATTGAAACTTTTGAAAACAAAACAAAGCAATCTTTACAACAATAAATCTCAATGATAATCCGATTGCAAAGTTTAATTGGACCGACTAACCGTGGTGGTTAAATAAAGTTCGTGTTGTGGGCCTTAAAGTACACTTATCAAAACCGCTTGGGTGGTCTAATCTCACTCAGAGAGGGTAGTTTATGATATAAAATGCCTGATATGATATTTTTAGATTCAACTCAAACATGAAAGCGATTTATTTACAGTTTGTGATCCAATATACAAGCTTACCACTTTCGTCTGTTTTGACTCCATTACCGTCCACCGAAGTTCCTCTGACTCTTATCAAGCTCCTTGAATTCCTGGACATTATCCAGACAGAACGGGCTACTGATATACCTGACTCAGAATTCTGAAACAAAAAGCACGTAGATTAGCTCGATATGGAGCTAGCAATGTCTACTGTTACATAATAACTGTTTATTTTTCATTGTTGTTGATGAATTGCCCAGACAATACAAATCAAAACTGCAAAATTAGCCTCCGCGACGTTTGGATGGCTCCATGAACGCATCACGAATTGTTTTTTTTCTGATGGGAAAGGAAGTATTTCTAATTCCTTCCATTTATAATATCTTAAGTCTATTTTGATGTTAGGGGCAAGTACAAGGATATTTTTCTACGAGTCTGAGAGGTAAAGATTAGCTTCGAGCAGAAGTTTATTTGCGTGACCACGTGTATTGGGTAAAACCCCTGTCAAGAGTCCAACTGACGTAATTTTTGAAAAACAAATTTAGCTCTTTGAAAACTCCCCTAAGCTACATAATTGTATTTTGTACTTACCGAGAGAGCTTTTAGCAGCGGAGACGCCAAACCTCTGTGAAGAAAAACGAGTAAGAAAACGAACAATTTAATACGTTTAAGATACAGTAATAGCGAATAATCAGGAAATCACAGAGATGAGTTATAAAACAAATAATAGACATCGTAAAAAAGATTTGTTCATCACAACAAACGGTAAAGCCACGTGGACCGTTAAATTGTCAAAACTAAAACTTGGAATCTTTTTTTCAAACTTCCAGTACTCACTTTGTGAAAATAAGCACGGCCAGGGTTGACCAGAATAGAACTGCTGTGTTGTGTTTCATGGTTCTTCGTTCTCTGAAGTGGATATTCGTTATGTTGTCGATGGAGTTTACACGGCCGACAAAATCGATGTCTGCTTTACAGTGACTTTTGATCTGTTCTGCTACTTATGGTTGAATGATTCTGTTCACTAAAAACTCGCTATTATATAAACCTGAAAACCGCAGACATTTACTCCGGAATCACTCCACCCAAACTAACAAAAACGTTGTTTCCTACGACGAAGCGGAAAAAACCCCGTTGAAAATCGTTCTCACGTTGGCATAATAACCTGTCTTGTCAGCAAAGTGCGGGCTTGTCTCAATTTGTTTTAGCGTTGCTCGACGGAAATGTCTTCTCGCGAATCGCGAAAAGAAAGATCGATTGCGATGAACAATGAATGTTGACGTTGTCAGCAGTTAGCGAATCATGTTCTACATTTTAAGCATAATTTGTTGCTTTACTGGTTGGTCTGTTTATTTTGACGACACATATTGTTCGGCTGTTTTCAATTCTGTACGTTTCCGCAATTTTTTCATGAATCAGCGGGGAGAGGACTAATGGTGATGTCATAAGTAAATTTATACCCTCAAATAAAAGCAAGAGATCGAGGAACTTTAAAACCTGTTGTGGACTAAACGATGTTATGTGGGATGTCGGAAGTGATGAGAAATACGAGTAAATTCTATTCCTTTATCATAAGGTGATCCCGACCTTCCGGTAACTGGCAAAATCATTTAGGCAGGATCGAAACATTCCCTAAATTTCAAGAAAGACAAATTTACTGAGAAGGAAACGACGTCAAAATGTGTCGTATATTGGTACATTGGTATATTTTGGTTAATTCGCGTCATTGGGGTGACGATCGTCTGAAAGGAACTCTCTAACAGGATGGTTCTTAGAACTGTGTCACGCAATTTATTAAGTGTCATCAAAGAAAAATCTAACATGGAAGGAAACGATTGTAAATGGTTTTTAAGCTACGAAAGTTCTCCAAAACCACAGTTATTCATAAAACATTTGAGCAGAGCAGAAGTTACTTTTCTGATTAGTAATTTCATACAAATTTTGTGATATCAGTTGTCTCCGTGACTAACTGTAGGATATTCACTTCAGCTCTGCGTTGATGTCGTTTGATATTTTTAAGAATAAACTGGATTTCGTTGAGTGCTGGTAAAAAAATACATTTTTTATTGCATCTTTAAACTGTAGAATTGGGCAATCTTGCTACTGACTGACAACGAGTTCTTGGGCCGCGACATTTCCACAAGTCGGGAAAATCCTGAATTTCACTTATTTGTATTTTCAGTTAACGGCGTGTTTAGCTACTTCTTCAAGATACAAATACTGTGGCGGAAACAAGCCAAGGATAAAAATATTAAAAACGTACTTTAATTGATATTCAGATGAATGAAATCCTTTGTGGAGGCGTGATAAGGAAACTATCTGTGTTTTACGTTAAAATAAGTCAGCGCGGGCCTTTGAAGGGACAAGTATGCTCTAAAGTTGATGTATTGGACCTGTCACGCAAACCACTAAATTGCATGGGCAACGGAGTGCAACGGTGAAGGTTACTGTCAAACGGTTCCCTGTTATGTTTGTGAAGCAATCAATTCAAGTGCATAGATAAGATTCAGGGTTAATAATGATTCAAATACAACGGAAGTTAAGCGACATTAAGGGCGAAAACGTATGATTCTCCATGAAGGGCAGAAGTGAAGTCGTAAATCCGGCCGATTTGTAAATACGACTTATAGAGGGCTCACACAGGGTCACTAAGTGAAGTTTGAATCACGTACGTGAAAAATGCCAAAACCATTTCCTCACGTTAGGATGGAAAATTCGTCTCAAATTTCAGTTTGTTTTATTTTATCCAATTTGTTTAAATCACTGATATAACTGTATTTATTAAATTTATGGCCCAAATATAAGTTATTCGGTCAGGCTCTTGTTTCCATTTTTAGTGGGAAAAAACCTTTCCGGTATTTTTATCTTGAGCTACATCTTACAGAGTTCCTTGTCTTTTTCAGCAGTGAATTGCTGAGAGCTGTATTTCAGTTCAACGCTTAATACTTCCGTTTTATGAAAGTTCAATTCTTTTCTTTAGAGCGCTTGAAGACAGACAAACTGTGCTATCACCACCTTACAACATCAGTGAATTACGCCTTTTATAGGAATAGTTTCATTCTGAACACCGAATAAGGACTTCATAACATCATAACTAAAGAAGGTACAAGAACAAATTTTCGCCGAAATTGAACGTTTTCCAAATTCATGTGGCGTTGTGTAAGTGCAGCTGGGTTCCAGATTGCTGTCACATTTTTTCCTTCGCAAAGCGAGATCACATTTGCCTAAAAAAAACTGTGCATGCTACGCTTTAAAAGAAGAAAAGGTAATGTTCACAGGGAATGTAGCCGAACTTATACTAAAGTTGGAAACTTTTCTTCGTATGCAAATCTTTTCGTGGAGAATGATAACTTGTACAATGAAAGCTCAATTGGCCAAGAACGAAAAGTGACTTGATAGGAAGGCGTTGTTGAACGTATCAGTGGTAAAGTGAGAGAGGGGAAAATGAAGAGATTGTCAAAAGAAGAAATATCACAACCCTCTGCTGCTAATTTGCAGTTGATATTTCTAGAATTGTAGAGAAAACCATTAAAATTAGACCCATTTACAATGCTAAATTACCTCTGCCCCAACCTTCAGTAAGGCATTGTATACCTTTTTTCTCTAATCCTATTTTTTACGTTATTGGACTTGGGAAGATACGGTTTTCTTTTACCTGGGAACAACATCATAAAAAAGCATTATGTTTTTCCAATAGAGTTCAGTGTGACAATGAACGTGCATAACTTCCTCTCTTTATCAGTAAAGGAATGTATCACATTTAATAGTCATTTCAAAGTTCCTGTTATTGCACTTTAATGTTCTTTGTCCCATTTGTCAGCACTTAATTGTCGTCAATTGTGAATCAATGATATAAATTAAAGATGACAGAAGTAGATGAAAAGTCATGTCGAAACTAAAATGGATTTCGTCTGATTTGGCCTGAACAGTCAGGTTTCGAAACTCCTCTTTCTGAAATGAATTGATAGAGCTGTCCAAGTTCTCAGAGAAGTTTCCAACTCTTAAGCAACAACTGCAGAATTCTGCAGCAGAATAAAAATATGTCTATCTCTTTTCTACCCGCATAATTCCCCGGCTGACCAATAGTTTTCTTTTTAAATTGCAGGCACGAGTTAGCCAATCTGAAATGGCTCTGGTATGGAGGCGTTAAGTCTTAAGGATGCTCGAATATTCCTCAATCGTCAGAACCTTCTGGAAAGACGTGATCAAAGTCTACAACTGTACTGCATTTGCATCGAGTCTGAAATTCCATCAAAGCATTCTTCGTGTTTTTTGTTTTTCTTTTTTGACCCTTTGCCAGTTAAGATGCGGGAAAATGAACATTTTCATTGTTCTATTGATTATAGGAAGGAAGGCCCACTGTCTAGTTAGCGTACTTTGAAGTAATACTTTATGGGCAACAAGCCAATTATTACACACGTACTGTGACGATGATTGTGAGATAATTGTCGATAAATCAATCATGTTTGTACAACTGTGTAACTTATGTAAAGGAAGGATGTCACATTAGGAAAAAAAGGTATAAATTGTCTCAGTCTAAGCAATTGTTTCCAGGGGCTATAACAACATTACATTACTAATTACAAACAGAAGGTTCATCCACAAAATTTTCATCCGATTTTCCTCGGTAGCGAACAGGATTCACGTAAACAACTGGTAAATAAAAATTTTTAATAAATACTGTGAAGATAAGAAGTTTGTCCAAATTCCTTCATATTTTAGTTATTTGTTTGGGATGAAATCTAGAGGAGAAACATTAAAAAAATATATTCAATTTCTTTGCGTGGAAAATTCAATCCATGCATTAATCAGTCTATGTTTTCGTACGAAGGGCTAACGCTCGAAACGTCAGCTTTTTTACCATTTACGGTGGCTAATTTACGTTTTCAACCCAGTTGTTAACACTAAATTACCTGCTATACTCTCCCACCGACGCAGCACCACAGTTTCTTTAGAAACTTACCCCTTTATGTTTTCGTATCACGACTGTATGAGGTCTTAAATAGTTCAGTATGGGGCTTCAAATATGTATATCTAGGCTCTTTTCGTGATTTTCTCGCTGCTTTTGTAAACCATGTTTGATGTAACACAAACAGGAAATGACGGCGCCAGTACATACAGACAATCGTCGTTTAGAGAGGAAATATCTAGTCTGTTCACCTTTGTTCACTCAGCAGGTCTCGAATAATTCTGCCTGCAGAATTTACAGAAAACTAAATACATTTTCGGATGGCAAAACAGCAAGAAAGCATCACTGTCAGCGGGTGACCGGAACACTTTAAGCAAAGATAAAACACCAGTAGATTAGTCGTCAATCAAAACATAAGATATTGATGTTAGAAATGGCACATGATTAGATGTATTTTATCAAAGTCCGTATATCCATAGGTTTGTAACTGATGCTCGGTCAGGATTTCTGACTTGTTTTTCTGAAGACCGAGAGACTCAATACTGTAAGAGTCGTTGACCTAGAGTCAATAATTCAAACCTTACTGAGTGGAATCCGTTATAATACTGAGTTATGAAACGTCGGTAGGAAGTATTTACACTGAGTTCACCAGAGGCAGAACAAACATCTATTGCAATGAACTACAACAACAATGCAGTTTTAATGAACGCTCTTTGATTGGAAAATATCTTTTGCACTCTACAAGCTCCGATACATCATGAACAACTAGAGCGCAGTGGGTGATATCGAAACGCCTCTACAAGGTTTTCCCTTCCCTTTTTCCAGCTTTCTACAGTATCATGAATCGAAACATACTCAGTTGAAAAGTTAAGCTTCTTTGTTTCTTTTCTTATTCTGTTTTTGGCTCGGTTATTTCATTTATAATATGTGTTTCCTTTTGTTGTCGAAATTCTGATCAAATCGAGGTTTATTGTGTATATCCACCGTGGGCATCTCATGATTTTGGCCTATCTTGTACAGTTCCTGCTCCCTTGGAATTATGCTTAGAGGAATGTTGACTCCAATCGTTTGCTGACTCATCAGTTAATCGTAACTCGGCGACATTTTTGAGAAGTGTTGACGACGCGAAATGCCATTATCGTAAATGAACTTACTAATTAAAGACCAATTATTAACATTTTATTTTCCCAATTTACGAACCTGGACAAAAATTTAATTGCATTTACATGAGAGTCCTCGTATTAGTACGTGCTCAGAAATTTGAAGTGATGACAAAAGATACTTTAAAAGGAAGTCACCGTATCTAGGAAGGAACAACAATCACTTTGAGTGAATTAAGCCTCGTCCCGTCTTGGAAACTTAAACACCACCACTATACATCCCTCAGCTCAATTCTCTAAATCTGACCACACCAGTTCATGCTGAGGAAGTTGTGGGAACAGGGATGGTCCGGCCGTAAGGTTTTTCTCCTCCTTAAATCGTAGGCCGGGTTCAATTCCCGGACTTCGCCTCACATATGCGTTGAGTTTGTTGCTGTTTGTTGTCCTCCGTCGCTCTGTGGTATTTTTCGTCTGGGTTTTGGAGTTAACCTTTATACCTACAAAAACCGATACCTCCAGTTTTAATGCTACGTCATGGAGGAAATGCTGCAAAATACACAGATTTGTTATCGTCAAACTAAAAAAATTTCACACCGTCATTAAAAAAAACTGTGTTAGTGTCTTGAGATTAACTACGTCGTTTTTCTACCTGGCTGTCCTTTTCTCTACTTGGCGGACTTTTTCTATTCGCAATTCCATTAATTTCCATTCATTATTCATTGTCTGGTTTTTTTTATAGTTCGGCGCTTCTCAGCCGTTATCATTTGACCTCAAACAATTTGGTTGATTATATTTTCGCTTATCGATCCGATTTAAACAAAAATATTCTTGCAATAGTGTAGTCTTGAAACTTATTTTTATTAGGGAGAGAGAAAGTGCGATCGCGTTTGCATGGCTCTTTACGTTCATTTATTCTGCGAAGTTTTTACATCTTTAAAAAGAATCTGAGCGGTACATTTGATATATCAACATTTATAAGTACCTTCACTCACTTGTCTTTCAGTTAAGTACTGTGCAGATGAAGTAATTTTTAATTACCTAGCCGACACAAGACCACAGTCATATCTTACTCATGAAATTCTATAATTAGCTGGACTTAATTCTCCTTTACAAGGAGGCGAATTTGAATGATAGATGAATTTTTCCGCAAGACGCTTTGTGTTAACCGCCAGTCTTCGTATTGGTCTACTTACGTGGCCAAAACTATGTCTGACTCGGTTACTTTTGGCCGGAATGACGTCCCAGTTCCGAGAAGATATGATTTAAAGATAATAGTATTTTCGAGAAATGTCCTAATATAATCAGAAGTATGTATCATAATGCTACACCTAGCTAGCGGATTAGATGGTCTTCCGCACAGATACAAAATTAAAAAAGAAACTATGTTTCGTGCAGAGCTAATTATGAACGCCGGAACCGCCTCCACCCGTACCGGGCCGCAAAATAAGAGCTTTGTAAACTATACCAATTAACACCACTTAAAAAAGAGTACTCCTCTTGAGATGCGCTACAAGGAAAAGACAGGTGATTGATGGCAACCGTTTTTCGTAATTTGCGGGTGTTGAAATCAACCCAGGGGTTGGAAATATTTCTGGTAAAAGCTACGATCCTGGCAATATAGACACGAAATGTGGAACTAGCTAATAACCTTTTCTGTAGGCGTAAAATGGTTGAATTATCCGATTATCAATATTCGGAAGCATCTACCGGCTTGACACGAAGTGTTACGTAAGTTTTCCTCTGCTACAATTTGTCTATTTTTGCTCAGATCATGGATTTCATACCAGTCTGTATGTACTTGAGTGATTACTTTATAAAAACTGATAAATAAACGCTGGTAAATAAACTCTTTGCTTCTGGTGGAAGCAAAGTAACTAAACCTTGAACAAAACCACGAATCATCCGGTATAACCTCTAAAGTTTAACATCTCAAAAAATTGTGGTTAATACATTGGTTGGTATATCACGACGTGACATGTTGTAATACTGCACCCCATAACTTCCCGTCGAGTTGTTCACCAGCTAATGGAAATTTTAACCACGGCGCTGGACAGCAGCAATATCCATGGTCTTTTATGAACACAAGTACGTCACGAGCTCACGATATTGTTTCGAAATCGAATGCAACGTAAAATCTCGTGATCCAAATTACCACAAAGTCAGGTTTGCCAAAGAAAGAGGGAATCATGCATGGGTAGTAGTATGATAGACAAGTTTCATTTTCGTCTTCAGTCTATAGACATGTTTTTGGCACTTTCTGTGTGAAAAACAAACTAGCTATACAACATTAAAAGATTAACGACAAAGAATCAACAAATGAACAAATAAATGGTGCTCATTATGCTTTCCTCTTTTAAATTAAAAGGCAAACATCCGATGTCCATCGAACAATAAAAAGGCGATCCAGACAGTCTGTCGATAAACAAGTCTATTTCGTTTTGAATCAAATCATCTTCAGAATTAACGAAGTGTCATGCAAACTACATTCCCATGACTTATCAAACGCTGCCGATTTTTTTTTTTTAGAGAGATACCTAGATATTTCCTATCGTTCAACAATATTACTTTGTCAAGCGTTCTTCGGGAAAGTAAAAAGACACAGCAATGTGATACAATGCCGTTCGCCTGCAGCGGCTATTAAGGGAACCCAACTTGGCTTTGATATTTGGCCATATTCAGGGAAATTGTTTAGCAACCTTGCATTAACCGTTACCCAGATCAGAACTCGTTTTTCTTACCTCCTTTCTTTAATTTTTTTTTAGGAGAGAACAGAATATAGCTTAAAAATAACAAGTTAGGTGTGTGGTTCTCTCCCTTACTTACTTGATGGAATTACTCTTAAAAAAAAAACAATAGAAAATTTATTTTCCCTTTTCGAATAATGACTCTATGATAGAGAAATCTTTTTCACTTTCACCAGCCAAAGGGAATTTCAGATTACACCTCTGCTAGAAACTGAAAATTATGTTAAACCTTACCTAAAAAGATAATGAGCATTATCTCCGAAAGAATTCGAATAAGGTGCGCCACCCGCATAAAAAATATTTTTATTAAATAAAAAAACACGGTCAGGAAAAACATTCCAATCATTTGTCTAAGTTTCTTGGTAGTTGTTTTAGTATCCTATTCCGAAATCTTGTAGTCAAGGAGTTAGGCTGGATCAGAGAGGAAGTTTATGAGCTTATTTCCCAAATTAGGCAAAAATCGCATTCCGTTTGCGCAAGGATTAGGGAATGAGGAAATCTGACAGCAAAGGAAACGCAACATATTCGAGTTTCTTTTTATCTTCTTTTGCTGAAAAGGTTACTTTGATTAAGTACTTTATCATAGTATTTTTTTTATTTACTAATTTCACTTCTTTTCGAGAGGAACGTTCTGTTGTGGTCATGAGTGATAGTATGTAAGGCAGTTTTATTCGTTGCGTGAACAAACAAACCGAACAAAACTCGAGCACGCCGAAAAAGATACATCACTGATTTTCCAAGCCCTTAGAATCTTGAAAAGAAAAAACCGCATTAGAGGGGAACATTCAAGAGGGGAAACCATAATATTTGTTTTGTTTTGTTTAAGCGACTTATTCTAAAATTCCATAACGCCCCCACACCCTCCCTCCCAGGTAGTAATAACTTCTTGAAAGTTCCAGACCAACACAACTCACGGCCAATATGGCCGCCCGCTTGTTATTGAGGATGTGTACCTCCTCAATACTTCCAGGTTAGAGATTGTAGGAAGCGAAGATATTGTCACCCTGAGTTTGGTTATGTATTCACCTTTGTGCAACTCGTAATGTAACCGACTGGCTTCTTTGAGTTCGACGTGATATAATTTTTGTACAAGGGATTAACAAATTTTATGTTCCCTTGTGTTGTTGTAGCTCGTGGGTGTAAGTATAGATGTAATGGACTTAAGTCCTCCGCCATACGCCCTGGGAATGCCAGTTTGCAAGAACATCTTATTAACAGAATCAAGGTATTAATGGTTTGTTTGGTAATGACACCCTTGGATGCGAATGTGCGTTAGTCATATGCAGAATGGAAATTCGCGGTATTGATCGATAATGGAACATTCCATTGAAAATATGCCTATCATTAGGATGGGGCGGGGCGGGGAAAGGAGTGCGCAAGAAAATGATGGAATGGCTCACATCATCATTCTAAACTTGTGTTAGACTTTAAACTATTACGTGTGTGTAAATTTATTTATTTTCAACATAATAGGGACTCTCCTGTTTGATTGTAAGCTTCTATTGATTTGAAAAGAGTAAAAGAGCATTTATATCCATTCTTTATTTTGTACGTTGTTTTTGTGGCAAAGTCCAAAAGACACATGTTAAAGTGGATATTGGCTAAATCCTGGTAAACACAAACTCAGACAGACAGTTCAATCCAGAATCCACCAAACAAACCATTCAGCTCTATTTGCTCAAAGAATAAAAAGAAAACTGTCCACAGGATGATTTGGGGAGAGGGGAAGGGTTTATGACTCAGGCTGGTCTGTGCTTCCAAGCAGTGTATGATTTTTGTGTCTCAAGCCTTACACAGGGCATGCAATGTTAGGATTTTACATGTTTAAGAGGGGTATCTCTAAGTCTTTCTGTGTGGTAGTACTGACAGTACACAGCCTTCATGTGTAGTACAACATGAAGGCTGCTACAAGAAATTTTACTCTACTTGGATATGAAAGTTTTGAACCCTTCTTCCCTTTGCTAGGGATGATTCTCTAACTAGCCTGTTAGTGTTGAAAAAAGCCTGCACATTGCATTGGATACCAGTTTTTATCATCCAACTGTGCAAAGTTGAGTACAAATATCCTGTGATATTTTACAGTTGGTTATTTTGTACTGTTAAAAGAAAAACTGTTTAAGCAGTCACCTGTGCATGCTACACTTCTCTATCCTGCCCTATGAGAAATAAGCAGAAGTACTTGGCAGAAAAAGAAAAGCAGCTGGATGATAAATAACTTATCAGACATGATGGTGTGTAGAATTGCCTGGTATTTTTACTTTTTGTTTGTATTTTGACTTGCCTACAGGGTTATAAAAATACTGCACAACTTGTGAAAACTCTTAGCTTCTCATACTACACACCAAATTGTCTAATTAGATATGTTTAGAAAAGATATAGTTAATCACTCTTCAAACAACTAACACATAGTCAGTAGGTGGATATCCAATCTTGTGTGCTAACCATGACTATCACATACATCATTAGGCTACAGGACCACTGACAGTTGCTGCCTTCATGCAAGAAGTTTTAACTAATCCACTTTCGGTAAGTTTAGTCTTTTAGGTTTGCCTATGGTTATTTTGGAACAAAATATAACTGTTTGTTTTGATAATCTCTGACATTTTGTGGAATAATAGTAAATTTAAGGCCTCACTCGATGGCAGGACCTAGATATTTTGTGAATTCACACAGATGTATCTAACCAGTTGAATAGAAAATTTTTGGTGGATTAAGCTCCACGGTTTTCATCTTTGCCAACATTGACCAGGAGTGAGTACTTTGAAATGCAGTTTGCCATTATTTTTTGTATTTGGAGTGCTTGCCATAGATTAAAATCTTATCTTACCTGCATAAAGTAATAATACTGTTAATATTTTTTAGGGTTATTATATGACCAGTGATGTATTTGGTCAAGCTGGAGATTTTATTACTTCACCAGAAATCAGCCAGGTCTTTGGAGAGGTACTTTTTATTGGCTGTAAAATACATTGGAATAAAACACAAATGTATATTTTTTTATCTTTTACCATGATCTTTTAGTGAGGGTTAGTATGGTTGTTGGCAACAATGATGGCCATTTTAACAAAAAAAAATTTAATGTTTTGTTTTTCATTCTCTTCTTCTTGTAAATTAACTCATTCATTAATTATGAACTGTTTGTAACAAGCTTGTAGGTGTGTGGTTTGTAAACCAGTGGATATTGTCAGGAAAGAAAAATGTAAATTTTGTTGAGCTGGGACCTGGCAGAGGCACTCTAGCTTCAGATATATTGAGGGTAAGTTTTGTTTAATATTTAGTTGTGTTGAACAAATTATGGTCCCATAGTGGAGGGTTTCTGGATAATTTTTGACTGAAAATTCAACAACAGAAGGACCAGTTAGAGCTCTGGCGGGTGCCAGCTCTTATTGAAAGCACTGGTTATCTGCGCTGGATTCATATCCTGCCTGATAGAAGTTGAAACACCATGAGGTACTGCATGTTACAGAAACCAGAGATGATTTACAAACAATTAGAGGCCATTTTGTCATTCTAATTTTGCTATTAATGCCTAATGGTCTGGCTGTGCCCAAAATTTGCCATGTTTTTTTCTCTATCCCTAATCATGTTTTTGTTTACTTTTTGTTAAAATAAGGTATTTGGCAAGTTTCCAGAACTCCATAGCAAACTTAGTTTGCATCTGGTGGAAGTCAGTCCAGTCTTGAGTGAAATTCAAGAAAAGACTCTCACTGGTGATCACAAAAATGACCAGGAAAAACAGTGTGTTGTAACAGATGACAGATCTACAGACAGGGAGGTATGAGGTAGACATTTATTCTCCTCCAATAATGAGGCAAAGCCTTGAGGAACATTAATTTCAGTATGAAACAGCCAATTGCCACTGAGCGTGCTGTGACTCAAGTGAAGATGCTCTTTTATCTAAATGAGGTGAAAGAACCCAGTAGCCTACCTTTTAGTGCACTGCAATCCTAATTAAAACTTGTGGACTTAAGCTCTAGACAAGTCATCCTTTTTTTTCCACTGGGAAAGACATACTACTCTCACAGAGTATAAAGGAGTACCAAAATCTTGTAAGGGAGACCAGATATAAGGAGTGGCTGGGTTACTTGTTATGGACAAGCATTCCATTCTGAGATGGTAGTAATGCTCCCAATGGCTACTGCATGCTATTGAAAGCAGGATTTCCACAACTTTGTGAATAATTTGACTTCTGTTTAAGATGTAGCTTTAATAGTGTTCATTTAAAAAAAGATAGATTTTGTGTACTGGTATTTGTTCAAGTAGCTAACACCTGCTTCCATAGTCAATTATCAAGATTACAATTTTCTAATTTTTAGGGTGGATCAGAGTTGTACTATAAAAAGTGTGTCACACAGAATGGTACCCCAGTGTCATGGTACAGAGCAATTCAAGACATCTCTTATACTGGAAACTGTTTTTTCATTGCTCATGAGTTCTTTGATGCCCTTCCAGTCCATCAGTTTCAGGTAACACTTCCTAACATTGCTATCAGCAAAGGGGCTTACAGTACAGAGGGTGCATAGGACACAGGAATAAGTGTTCCACCCAAGACTTGATGTCAATGATTATTTAAAGGTTAAATAAGGAGCTTAAGTTTTGTGGGTTCAAGACCTAGAGCATGGCTGAAGGAAGCTGAGGAAGTGCAAAGAATACAGTAGCCTCCAAAGCTGGAAAACTGAATCAAAGAAAGGTCTTAAATAACTTTAAATGTTAAAGTTATTGCTCTTTATCAGTTCCTTAATAATGTCAAGGCTTTCCATGAAATCATCAATTTGCAAACTCATTAATGAGACAGATAATGTTTTTTTTCCATAAGAAAACAGATCAGGGCTGGAGAGAAGTTCTTGTGGATGTTTCACCAGAAAAAGAGTATGTAGATTTTGAAGGGCTCAAATTTCTCCATTGGCACGTAATTTTGCTTGAGACCTGTGTGAAATTTCCTTCCTTAATAGTATTATTTGGAATTGTAATAGGTCCTCACAGCTGAGGTTTGTCTTAGCCCCTGCTCCTACCTTAGCCTCACAGACTTTAGTACCTCAAGGCACTTCTGTGAACCAAATTGAGGTGTGCCCCCAGGGTGGTGCCATTGTGGAACACATGAGTGAGGCCATAGCTGACCATGGTGGGTGTGCATTAATTGTGGATTATGGAGAGGAAGGTAGCAGAAGGCACACACTGAGGGTGAGTTGGTGAGGAGTAAGACGTGATGTTCAATACTAGAGCAGTGGTGAACCTCTCTTCTGGGACACCTCTATTTATGTACTGACATGCTCTTTGTTATAAAGGGATTTTTCCATCACAGAGGTGTTTTTTACCAGTCCCAGCCATGTCTCCATAGGGAATGTTCCATTGTAGGTGAAAACATGTTTAGGCTTGAACCAACTTGTCACGTGTCAAACCGTGGTTGGGCTCATTGCTTCTTATTCTTAATTTTTTTATACCTTTTTCTTTGTGGGGGGTTGGGGGTGGGGGGATGGGGGATGGATATTTTCTAGTCCGTCACATGTTGCCTTCCCACTTTTACTCTCCATAGTCCTTCAAGAAGCATGAATTGCATGATGTTTTAGAAGATCCTGGAAATGCGGATGTCACTGCCAATGTTGACTTCGCGTACCTTAGAAAGGCTACCCATGGGAAAGGTTGGTGGAAGCTTCAAACTTTTGATTGCATATTAAAAGTCAAGAGAATATCAACGCTTGATATCCTCTTGAAAAAGTACATTATTGTATCTTAGTCTTTGCCACGGAAGAACTCTTTGATCATGCATATTGAAGGAAGATTCTTTCAGAATAGTCGTGGTATTTAATTCGCTCAGTCTTATTGTGATAAAATGGTGATGAACCAGAGAAGCCAATATAAGAGACATATTGTAGCAAACAGTGGTTTATTGATTTTGATTTACAAAGATTTGCACCAAAGTAATAAACACAAAAAACTTTCAACACAATTTCAGAATCTGCAACGTATCAGTCTTAATCAAGAGCATCATCTGGAAAGAGAAAAGAAAATGTTAATTAGTTGTTCGAATAATGCGCGCATTTACTTTTTGAAGCGTTACGTAAAGTTGCGTTATGTTACTTTGTGTTACGTTATTTTACTCTGCTGCCAGCTGCAAATCTAGCACACGGAAAACAGCACAAAAACGATCAGTTTATCCCCCATGAAATCTCTAAGCATTAAGCTGTCTCCCAAATGTATTGCACTAATGCTTCAGTGCTTAAAGATATTTACAAAAAGTTCGATTTTCCTTCATACACAATGAAGATCATTCAATCTAATCACCTGCAAACAGGAATTGATTCAAAGCAGGCCTGGGGCCGATGAGATCTCGCCTTTGGCGCTGTGCTAGTGCCAGGTCCATCACGGTGCTGTATGGAGGGATGTGGTTCAGAGGACCTGTGACAATGCAAAGATATAACAAAAAGTCAACAAAACTTAGGAAAGACTTCAAAAGAATGTCTGCGCATTGAACACGGCGCATTCTTCTTTAACGAGATTTTGGGTAAAATCAGGTGCTTTCGAACACTACCTTTACAATTTCACGCTTTGCAAGTAGTTGAACTCAGAATAATATTCACCCGACAACAGAGATAAATTCAGGCAAGGCCTGGGGCCAAACCAGTTTCGCCTATGGCGCTGTAGCCGGGTTCTGAGGACCTTCGACAGACGATTACGGACAATAAATTTCTACTTTATCTGTGTATTGCACTCGATACAGGAGGAAGGTTTGTTAAAGTTGGAGGATTATTGTTTCTCTCTGGTTTCATTTTTTTTTATGATGTACCTGGTAACCTTTTCACTTCCCCCTCGAACCCGGACTCTCAAGATGTTAGGAGCGGCTCAGATTTTTCTTCATTTCTCACCTGCTAGCGTAAATGGAGACAGTGGTGACCTGGGTCCAATAAAATCCCGTCTTTGTCGCTTTACAAGCAACAGGTTGATCAAACCGTAGACATGGGACACAGGCTTGTTACTCATGCTGAGGGGTTTGAACAGCGTGAAGCTGACATGGGCACGGTTTGATTCATCTTGAGGACAGATCTGGGGATGAGATACTGTTGCTGGCTTTGACTCAGGAATTTGTTTAGCTGGTTCGTTGTCGAGCTGACTGACAATTTCACAGCAGAACTGGCGACTGCTATCGATGTAAGATAGTTCAGGAGCGAGACAAACACTGCGTCCCATCTTCTCCGCTTTCGCCGACCAACCAGGAGAGTAACGAATCCTGTTTATAGAGAGAATTGTTAGTTTGCTTGTTGACTCCCCGAAGTCTGTTTCTCACATCTTGCGTCCAGTTGCCATACTTTCCTTTGTAAGTTAGTAAAGAAAATTTGGTACTGCGTCAAGATAATACTCTTAGCTGATAGGTTATCCTTAATATCTCATCATTTTCTTGCTTGCTAGATAAGTAATTGATTTCGTAAGAACAGGTTACATTTAAGTTTCAGCTTTGTGTGGAGTGGTCTTTCCGTGCCACGCCATGTCTTTAGCACCAGCGTCATGTTTGGTTCTATTTTGACAGAAATAAGGATCAAGTAGCTAGAGAGGCGTCGGACACAAAGTTCAGCCACAAAGACAAATTTTCTACAGGTTACAAAGACAAATTTTCTATAGGTTACAAAGACGAATTTGCCATAAACTTACTTGCACTGCTTATAAAATTCGAAGCAGTACTGGAGAAAAAGATAAAAGTACCACAGAAAAAATAACCAAACGCCGATGTTAAAAGCTCGAATGGAGATGGGAGGTGTGATACCTGCAAAAGAACAAACGCAATGGCGATTAATTTACTTCTGGCAACTTCAAGTTGATGACCAATCATCATTCGCTATATGAATCGAAGCATTTAACTTCCGCTGAGTTGCAGTGAAACAGCTTCTTTGGCGAATAAATCGTTATCTCAGCTCTGAAGTCTCTTCAGAAATTCGTAGAGAATATTAAAGAATCAAGAAAGATTGTAAATGTTTCCATCGCACTCGTTTATGTTTCATGCATCCTCATTCCCAGACTTCTTTCTCATCCGGCGGCGGGAAAAGGGTTACCGAAATAGCGCGCGCGCTCGAGCAACTGTCTCGGATTATGACGTTTTTGTTTTTTTCACAGCCACACAAACCTTTTGCTTTTGAGTAAAAATACTTTCTAATACCCATTTTCATGAAGAAGTTGCTGACATATGCACACTGAACAGAAATACTCAAAGCAAACTCTCGGGCCAAGTTTGTGTACAGAATATAAAATAAAGAAAATATTTCCGTTTCGAGAAAGAAAGCTAGGAAGATGGCTTCAAATGTATGCAGTACTCACCTTTTGCCTTGTAGGCTTGCACTGTTACCGCATGGTTATTCATTAGCAGACATATCGGGTAGGAAAACACAAGTACAAAGCAAACGACAGCTTTGTACAACATTGTGACAATTGTACCACGAAAACTCCTCGTTTAAAAGCTTTTTACCCCGCAGCCTTCAAAAACACTGTTATAGCAAAAGTGATGTCTTCGTGTTTGAGGACTTTCCGCGCACACTGGACGTAACAATAAGGCTGAATTCTTCACGCGCGCGCCGTGATTTGATTGGTTAGCACTCAATTTCCAACGAAAGAGTTGGGGACTGGGCGCTACAAGAATTCCAATGATATGGAAAATTGTGATGAAAATCTTGGTGCCTTTGGCGCGATTTTTTTTCAATTTTAAGAAGTCGCGCAAATTCAGACCATTTTGAATTCGCACGCATTTTGGTAGGAAGGAGACGAGTCTGGGTTTTGAATTGATGCACCAAGGAGTGATTCGTCGTCTTATTTGAAAACTCGTTTTTTTTCGGGCAATACCTTCGTTCGTGTTTTATACTTAGAAGTAGTGAAGATCTGTTAAATTTATAAAGCATATCCCATTGCCGCATCTGTCGCGCTGATTACTTCATTCCAGTGTGCGTTACACGCAGCTAAATAGAGTCTTCTTGCTACGACCGGAGCAATGCTGTTAGTATGAAGATGTATTGTATCCAAAAGTGCGCTGAAGTGTTTGAGATTAGGATTGGCGTTAAGGTTAGGCAAAGTTTTGTGGAAATTTGAACTCTGTAACTTCTAGGATTTTGTTTATAATAACTCAGATAATTTAGTGTTCTCTTATTGAAAAGCTTTTCAAAGAATGTCGAAAGTAGTCCAGGATTACTTTGGTTTTGCTTCACTTCGTTCTGTGATTGGTCCGGAAAACGGGCTTGCACCTCTTTCTCAACCAATCAGTTTACAAACCAATTGCGACTTGGCCACTCGCGTTTTCGCGCCCTTCCAGTTTTCGCTATAAGTTGTTATTGGTTCCTGGTAATGTCTCCCTTTGTCCTGATTGGCTGTTTTGATTAGCCATGTTTCGCTTTTCATCACTCAATCGAAAACCGCTCCATCAAGACAACACTGCCTGGCAGATACTACTTCGCTGAGTATTGTATCGATGTCGTTAGGAGAGGTCTCGTTTCACTCATCTCAACAGGTTAGCAGGCCAGGAACGAACTTGCGTAGAAAAAATTTTGAGAAAATTGCCAAATACAACAGGCCTAAGAAAGTAATATGCGTACTAAATATAAAATACTGTTATGTTATTGTCCGCCGAACATCTTTCACCAATGCGTTTGCTTTTTCTCATCTGACAGTTCAAACATTTGGGCCGGTCACGCAAAGTTCCTTTCTTCAACAAATGGGAATTGATATGAGAATGGAAGTAAGTAATAATGTAGGCTATCTCGCCCTGACTCCCCCCAATTTTCCACCAGGAGATATGAAGTACCTCCCTGCTAAAAAATGTTGAAATAAAGAAATCTGCAATAATTGAAGTTTTTATTTGAATTTCATGTGTACTTCCAGCCTCTCAAGAGAGAAACAAACAAAAAAAAAGAAATTTTGCGGGAAATCCCAGCGCCATAAAACTATTTTGCATTCACTTTGAAATATCTCTAACATGGTAACTAAAGCTCTGTACATTCTTCTTATCTTGATTAAATCTATTAAGTTCTTCGTTTTTATATTTTGTCTTTCAGGTCCTTCTGCAAAATGCCAGCTCTTCACAGGCTGAGCAGCTTCAAAGCGGTTACAAACTGCTAACAAGCTCGTCAGAGATGGGAGAAAAATTCAAGTTCTTTAGCCTTGTTCAACATGGACTCCCAGAACCAGCTGCTTTCAGATGACATCAGCTGCTAGTCGTAAAGCACGATTCAGCTCAGTGACAGTGACTTGCGCACTGCTCTGCGATGTGACGCGTTGTAGTTGTCACAGGGCACGAGACTTTTATAGTCCCTCTAGAACCAATGACATCTTCCCGTGAAAATTGAATGCAGTGAAATACTATCTGATACGTGTATCATTCACGCTGGAATCACTTTGAATTAAAACTGATTGATTGATTGATTGATTGATTTGAGCGAGTAACCGGTCGATTGATTGATTGATAGCTTGATTTACCGTATGATTGGTGGAATAATTGATTAGTTGGTTGACTCAATTGGATTCAACACTCGTTGTGACTACAACATGACTGTAACAATTCTAATCTATACCTCTCCACCCTTCCCCAGTCCTCAACTCTCCATCATCTTGAAACCAAACTTGGTTCTGTCAACGCTTGTTTTTCTCTTCCTACCCCCCCCCCTTCTATTAAGACTCAGTGAGATTACGTTGAAATGCGAAGGTGCAGAGAAGGTATGAGAAAATGAACTTAGACATCAGCCTTGTTGTTGGTAAGCGATTCCCAAACATCGATTTCACGAAAGAAAATTTGATTAGCATGACCCTCTGTTGATACAATTCGTAAACAAGTGACCACTTTAGATTCATCAGGAGTAATCTCTGCTTTTCCCTCGTGAAATGCTCCAATAGTATTGAAATATCCACAAGAATCTTCCTCGTTTGTCAATTCACCATCCGCCGATGATTCAAAACTGGCCTGCAGAATACCAGAATATAACAGACAGTCACTGGCTCTGTAAGAACCCGTGTCCACAAACACTTTTTGAACAGAGGTAGGCAAGTTAAACTTTATTAAGATGTAATCATCTCTTTCGGAACTCTCTGCCCAAAAATAGCCATCACCCTTATCATAAGCATCTTGTGGTTGCCCCTCGATAGAAGACATTGACGAAGTCACAATGGCAGGAGGGTTCAACCCTTTATACTTTTGATCATATGCGTCGAAAAAGGTCTCTAAATCACTTGCCATGTGGGGAGCTTTCTCAGCCAGTGTCGATGTAACACCAATATGTTCAAATAGCGACGCCAATAATTTGTTAAACGATTCTGCGTCTTCTACAGATTTTATTTTTGTCCAATGATTCATTAACCAGTCTATGGGCATCTCATCGTACAGAAGGTAGTAGAACATGGCGGCATTTTCCAAATCGCGAGATTGATAGAGTTTTGCAACGCTACCTTGTTGTGCTACATCTAACATAACCCAATGTGGGTACGGTTGGTCATGGATGAAATCTTTCAGTTTAGGGAGAAAGCTTGGAGAAGATCTTACATCGTCTTCCAGATGGATGTAATATTGGCTGAAATCTTTGCAGTAACACATTACAAATGCATTATCGACATTCTCCTTAGAGCGCCACGTTCGTCTGTTCTCTGAGTCACCATATTTCTCTTTGATATTGATGAGTTCTGGGTAAAATTCGGGAAATGTTTCAATTACTGTCAGCAGTCCCTGTTCGATGTGTTCGCCGAACTTTCGAGAAAGCTTTTCTTTTACGGTGGATCTTGGTGCTTTTTCCAAGTCGGCAAGAAAGATTACAATTTGTACGCTGTCCTTGTCACTCTGACTTGTGTTGTCAAGTAAGCTCTGGGTAGTTTGCAGCAAGTACATTTCACCCGCGGGCCTCGCCACCGATGCTATTCCAATGGCAAGAAAACCTTTAAAGCAAAAAGGAAGTGCAGTTGATCGTTTTATCTGATCGTCCAGTGGAGAATAGTCCTGAAAAGGATTTGTTGTCATTGACTGTGATAGACGTTTCGGGAACGGTCAGCGGAAGTCCTCTTCCTTAGTCAATTGTCAGTCAAACAAGCGGTGTAAGTCGAGCTAAATTTCGAGTTCGTATAAACCAATCGGTCAGTTTTCCCGTGATGTACTTGGCTTTACGATTACAGCAGCACAATTCAGTTGTGATCACTCATTTTCTATAGTCGGTAAAGTTACGTCGTTCTGCCGAAGTTCATGATCGAGATATTGATAGTTATAAAATTCAAACAACAAAATATGTTTGGGCCGAGACCAGGACTACAATCCCTTTGGTTAAGATTCTAAAATTTGGCTTCCGGCCCTCAAAGTTACCGGCCCGGTCCTATTTTGGGATGAAACAACTATTCTCTTTTCTATAAAAAAATGGTGTAAGATATGCTATTCGCGAAAGATTTCAAACTTAATTCCGAGTTTTAAGCTTTGTCTGTATTATTTAGTGTCTCGTATTATTCTGAAGTAAAAACCATTTTGCACTTACGTGTTTGTGAGGGATATCTCCCTAACTTGGTCACTTTGGAACTTTTAAGTACATCTCTGTCTGGACAAATGGAGGGACGCTTCTGTAAAGATTCTAGGAACAACAAAATCTCTTTTAGAGCCGTTTGTGCTGTGTTTGTTTGATTACAGATCGAATTGTATTCTACTCAGTCCTGTTAACATAGTCAATTCTAATGAAATTTGGACGAAGTCGCCCCAGACCACAACATTTAGGTCGGTCTTGTTGGCAACATCTCTCTCAATTTTCTGTAGTTTCATTTTCGAGAAGTAAATTGCTCCAAGAAAATGAATAGTGCATTTTCGGCTTTCGTTATCACACTTCATAAGTTCCACTGGTCTTCAAAAATACGATATGGCGAATTGTTTCTTTAAAGAGAAAAAAAAGGAAACCATAATTTCCAAAAACTATTCGCTATAAATATCGAGTATATCATCGAAATAAGTCCAAATTTTAAAAGGAATGCATTAGTAGAGCACCTTACTGATACTAAAATTCAAACACTGTCAGTCTGAGGCTAAAATTAGACTTGTTTGGATATTGAGATATTGATCCGCTTCCGTTGTTTTTTCTGTTGCACCATGTTATGTAATACTGCAATTCCAATACTTAATGACGAAAACTGTTTCAAACACGTTTAGTCACGAATAAGACAAAAATTCTTATTTAAAAAGCGCTTTCTACGACACCAGCGAAAGATCAACACAATCTATTATTTTTGCTGAAGACTGAATTCTAAATTGTTTCGCTTGTTGATCAAACGTCACACTGACTTGCTAAAAGTAGAGTGTAGCAACACTTAGATTTCCTTATGAAAAGCCTTAAGTTAAGTTACCATGATTAGTTTTAATATGTGGAATTAAACACGGGTTTATGTGGTTCTGCGCAGACCACAGACCACCTTCGCAGTCTCGCTGAGTAGGATAAAGGATGAATATCTCCCAAAACCATGAAAATGACCACATTATTGTTCGACATCGTTTACGAATTTGTCAATTAACAAGGCAATTTCATGAGCGATTGCCACCTCAGTCAGAATCTAAAAACACCCTATTCTTACTTGGTTCGTGGGAAGTTGTTTGAAATGGCTCAGTTGTAGGCTTTCTCTGACTGTTTAAAGGTTTGACGTCTCTTGAGGTAGTGGGATATTCGCGTCCATTCGTACACGGTGTTTTCCAAACGAATAGTGTTATCCCCACCACAGTGGCTACTAGCACCACTCTTCCAAGAAAATTCCAAGTACTAAAGCGGCATATTCTCCAAAGTACCCTTCCTACAGCCATCATTTTGGCGTTTTGTTAAGAAAACTCTGATTGCCTCTCGCGGCTTAGTTTGGTGAAATTTAGGAGCAATATTGCCAGGAAATATTGAGTTAAAGTTTTCTTGAATTTTTTAACGTTCAGATTACAAGGTTACTGTGTTACAACTTAACTTAAAATACTCTCCAAGAGATAACTTCCAACGGGGTGTGAATTCTTTGAAACGAATTTGCCTCGATTAACTTTGGCGGTTCGAAAGAAGTAGTGAAAAGTAACATGTCGCCCTTATTGAACAATCGTAATTTCCAAAGTGTTTTTGATTAAAATCATTTGCAAAACGCTGCTTTGTTTTTTCGTTTATCTACTTGAAGGTATCCCAGGTTCCATCAGGTTTCCTTATTGCCTTTGCAGCAGATCCTCACTACCTCGGATTCAGTTATTTCCGTCACGGTACAACAGATTACATCAATCTTCTCGCATGACCCAAGGCCCTAAACACGTGATCGAGGTCAATAGTATTCCACGAAACATGTATCAACATGTTCCGCACAAACCTTTTGCACTCAGCCTCGACAAAAGTTCCTAAGCGCTACGTATAAAAAAAGGCCTTCTTTTGACGCTCCATACAAAATGTTGTTCTGGAATAATAGACCGTTTTTTGATCCAAGGGAATTTGACCAAAAATGAGAATAATGAGCACGGACCTTCTTTTCAGTTGAAACGCAAAAACCCACCTATTGCGGATGTAATAGTAAGAAAGACTATTTTCCATTTCATGAAACTTGATAAAGCTTCCCCCCTCCTCCGTGCTCCCAGACGAGAGTAGCCCACGGTCATTCGGAACACAGTGCTGTGGTGTGGAAGGCAGATAGCATCAGGACCACGATAGTCAGGCATGCTGAACCAAGAACCACGAAGGTTGGAATCTCTTGCATCGCACTCCTGACACCATGCACTTGAACACCAAACTCTACGGTCAGATTACAAAAGCTGTAATGACAAAGTATATCGATGATAATAGTCAGTATTCAGCTAAGTCACAGGCAGCCTAATCTTATGAAGAATAGCACGGAACCCACGCTAAAGGAACAAGGAAAAGAGACAATTCCTGACGCCCCCGAGGAGGTGGGTCTGAGTATCCCGTATACTATTAATGTTTGGCCTAAATATCCCGTTAATTCCTGCAGTTTGTTTCCTTTTAATTCCCGTTATCTCTGTTTTGAAAATCCCGTTTCCCGCTTTTTTTCTTCGACTATCCCCGTATCCCTTCAATGTTTTAACCAAATATCCCGCATCCGATAACCCCTTATAAAGCCTCCTTCCTTAAAGTTCGACACACTGTCACAGCCGCCGTTTGGGAAAGAGGAACAAAGAGTGAACTCGAGTGGGAAGTTGAAACTGAGTATATCTTTCGCTTTCTTAGGGTTGACTCGAAAATCCAGACAACCAAAGTGAGCTTTAGTGGTTTAAACTAACCAGGGCTGTGGCTGAAAAATGACGCGGCCAAATTTTATTCAGCGGCAAAATCCGAAAGTTGCCTCTCAATAGAAAAACAATTAAAAAAAAAAAAATAAAAAAAATACTGCTCTTGAAATTTCACTATCTTAAAGAATATCAGTTGAGGTATATTCAATAATCAATTCCTTTACCTAAATTCAGGATCAAGAACTTTCAGGAGGAAGACAAAAGTGCCTACATCAGTCCACACAATGTGCGAGGCGGCCCCAGAATTGTTGAGGATCTCGTATCGTTCATAAAGATTATCCGCAGAAATGGAGCCATCTGCTGACTCTTGAAAACAAGTTTGGTAATTCTAGGGAATAAAATTGAAATTATATGAAAGTAAATAATATTACAATCTTTCGAAGGTTCGGAAATTGATCAGTTGCATATTGCGATAGTCTTGAACGAAAGGCATCATAAAAGATCATCATGAACTTGTTTGTCGATCATTGTTAGTTTTCTTAGTTGGTCAAGAGAAGGCAACATGGAACCAAATTAACACAGTAAATGCATCTTTTATGACTCGCTGTTCGTATCTTTTTACCTCCTTGGACCACGCTGATTCAATACTTCCACCCTTCATAGAATTTATCATCTTTTCCCAGCTCTGCGCCTCTCTCATGCACCCAACCTTGTTAAAAAAAAACAACAACAACAAAAACGCTTTCCTATTGAATATTGGGTTGGGTTCATATTTCCCTCGTAGTCTTAAAAATTTCCATGACTTTCCTTAACTTCTCCCGAACTCTTTAAGTGTGAATTTCAGTCAGTGGCTCATACTTAACATAGGAAGTTGCGTACAAAAAATTCAAAGTTGAAGTTCACATAGTCGAACAGTGAGTTGATATTGAGATGTTCAAAACGCCAGTGACAATTTTAACCTAATTTCATATGTTCTTTTGCATTTTTCCCTCGATCGAACTGCTAACACCGTAATTTCTCTTTCTTCTGCTGTAACATTCTTCGCCAGCTTCTTTGCAGTATAAGTTCAACGCATTCCACTTCAGCCTATCAATACCAGTGTAGCACGTCTTTCCTTGCTTTCTTCCTTGAAATTCTTTGGGCGATGTTCAGCGGTATAGCCTTTTAATGCTGCACAAATAACTGACACTATGCACTACACTATGTTTGCATTTCCAAAAGAGATATCAGTATCAAAAAATTATAATTTTTCTCCTATCCCCAGTAGTCCTCCAAAAACGGGGAGGAGGAGGAAAATAATGTTTAAAATACGAAACAGCCGCTAACCTCCTTCATGGTTTTACTGTACTTGTAGCCAGCTCGACCACGTTGTTCCCACAATACATAGTTTACATCCACTTCTTTTACAAACGTTTCTCCATCGTACCTGACGGGGAAAAATATTTCAGAACTTGCGTAATCTTTAAGAAATTAGTTATAAAATAGTACGAAAAGTTTTCATATAAGAAGACATTGCTGTCGCATTTATTTTCACTTAGAAGTAAAAAAAGATAATTAAATAAAAACTAAATACTTAAACACATTATACTCAACTGCATTAGATTCGTGAATGACATTACTGATACTTGTATCTATAAAGAGTTTAGTTCAGTAGACTGAATCAACATTAAGACTTCAAATACATATCGTGATACATCTGCTGATGAGGCCTTTTCCCTACATTCAGTTGAAGCAGCCATTAAGCAGCAGAGAGCGACGTGAATCTCCCCTGATTCTTTCCTTTTTTTTCCTTTGGCACTTAAATTCCACTATTACCTAGCTGTCAGGAAAATGCATGGGCGGAAAAGGTGTTAATAAAACACGGCACTTACACGTCAATAATGGGTTTGAAAGGTTCACTGCTCTGCACTGATAACGGACAGCCCAGTTTCAGAAGGTCATACACAACGTTCTATAAAACAAACTTTTTTCAGTACATCCCACGACAAATAAAATCAAATACCTGATCAAAATGTAAAGCATGAGGTTTGAAGAATCGTTAACTACAAATAACGTCATAGGGCGAATTGAATTGAATCAAGAAAGAAAGGCACTTGGAAAAGCAGCCGTTTCTTGAAGCATATACGAGAGAGAAGCCGTATAAAAGAAAAGAAATTGAGCTTTTCCTCTTTGGAAAACTAAACGTGGAATTTACATAACTTCACCTTATCTGAAACTTCATCATTTTCATGAGAAATTTCTCTCTGCTGACCACTGCCACAAAAAAGTAGAAAATGTTATTTTCTCACCTAATGTAACTCTTTACTCCCTAACATCAGTATGCATATTCTCCATACTACTCCTTAGACATTTCCTAATGCTTTTACAAGGAGAATTTGTGCAACAATCAAAAGCTTCTTTAGTTGGTGATCATTTCCTTTATTCTCATGACCTTAGTGTTTGATCCAGGGGTGATGTTGTTAGGAGAAATTAGATGTTAGTCACTCTTAGGGCTTGAAGGGTTAATGCACTCAAGGGTCAAAAAGTCAAGTAAGCTCTATTTTTTAATTGTAGTATTTAGACTATTCCAACTCATCCTACAACTTAATTTGCCTTGCTAGTCTAAGTGAATTAAATTTCCCAGCACTTCTCCCTAAGCAACTGGCTATGTGACACTCCCCAGATGAGGTTGAAATGTTTTCGAGTATTTTAAAAGTGAAAAATTGGATTATCTACTGACCCAGGCAGTATTAATTATGATTTTCTCAATTCTGTCTTTCATCATAACACCATCCTTACCCAATAACTATTGCTTATAAACATATCTTTGATTGTTTTTACCTTGAGACCACATAAGAAAAGTTTTTGAAACTTCCACATCTGGTAGGTTTGCTGAAAAATTAAAAATGATCACCTAATACAAAAGTTGTGATTTACCTACAATAAGCGATAATTTCCCCAAACAACTACCTATTATACTTTCTTTTAAACATGTTGCGCACATATCAAGAGCTTGAAATTGCTTTGACTTAAATAAATTGTATAAAACGTTTTCTATAGATTATATCTATGCATCAACCATTGCCAAACTCACCCCCTAGGAATTATATGCCGGTTAGAAGGGCAACCAACAGTCACATTTGTCTCCTATTAACATAATGAAACACATATCCTATGTTAGAATATATTTCAAAAGGTTCTTTTAGATCTGGTTGCTTCTTCTGGAACTTGCACAACTTTTTTTGTTCTGCCCTTAGTGGAGTCAAATTTATTTGTAACATACTCTGCCATACTATGAAGGCAACATCCAATCTTATAGGAAGGATACTGATGCAAAAACTTCCATGTCAAAGAAGACAGCCACAAGAGAAAATAAATTCTAGCACAGTAAAATTGCCAAGCCAATCCCTTAAGAATGTTTTTGTCTGTTTCTGAACTGCAACTGCTCAGATAAAACTAAGGCTACACTTGCACAAATACTTACTGCTTTTAAGGTGGCACAAGAGTGATCTTCGGAAAATGCCTCAACACCAAACAAAACATTGATGCCCTCTTCACTAAAAACACATTTCTACATTATTTACAAGTTATAACTTTTAATATTGTCAAATTATGGCATCTAGACTACCTTAAAAGCTACAATCAGTGAATCAGTGACACACCAGGTTCATTTAGAGGAAAGAAATTAATTGTGCTGCTCCTAACAAAAGTTTAACCTATGATCTCCTAAAAAACATCTGTAAACACCAAGCTACTTCATACCCGGGATCACTCCTAAATTCATTACCTTGCGTGGTTGTGTCCCTCATTTCTTCTCTTTCTTTCTTTGAGGGAAACTGTCTAGAAGGAAATCACAGTGAAAAAATTGATAGTGGCTCAGAAAATTTAACCTAACTTATCCTAATCCTGAGTAATTTTCCATTTTCTATGAGAAATTCACAACACTTACTACATTTCTGGATATAACTCCTATGCCATGAGTATCTGAGAATGATTCCTGGCTTGCAAGACTGAAAGTCAAGTGTTCAGTATTTGAAAGGCTGCCCTGTGAAATAAAGGAATTGAAAAATTCATGTTCTACTTGTATGTTAAGGTTTTATTCAAAATGGTGCTGCAATTACAACAAGAAAACGGCTATACATCATTATTGTAGTTTACTAAACAAGTAACAAAATTTGAGGAGGATAGTGTTCCTGTTGTGTCCCAGCTGACACTCTGGATTCTCTCTCTTGTAACTCCAAATTGTTCGCTTGATGTATCACAAATGAATATAGCATGTAAGAAATGGTGTTGTTTGAAAAGTTCCTCTTAGAATTGTACAATGTTTATTATTTCCCTATGTGGTAAATATCCAGTTCAGTGTATTATTTCTTTACTCGATAAGTTTCTCTTGAAACTTGCGGATAACGACACAGCAATAGCTAATAACTGAGTGAAAACGTGCAATGAACCCTGTAGGCAAGATTCTTTTTGTTTTCTGTAAGTATTATAAAACGGTTGTTGTTAGCTCTCTTACGATAAGTCGGTTATCTTCCCAAGGTTCAGGAATAAGCATAGCCCATGCCTGTGGTGAAAAGGAAAGAAAAGGAAGGAATGGTAAGAAGAAGAAACACAAATACAAAGTTGTAGCATGCCAACTTTCAGGACCATTTTGAGGGATATGTTTTGAAGCATATTTTTGATGCACTGGTCACATATGAATTAAAACAGCTACTGCGAAAATAGAGAGAAGGAAGAAGTGAAAAAACTGACCCGAGGTTTCCTACCTTAATTGTTTCTCCTTTGTCTAGGAAGTACGTTGGCTTGAAGTTATGGAGCAGAACCTCATGCTAAAATAATATAACCAGCCACTATCAGTGAAACTACCTTGAACAAGCATGACTTTGCCGTGAAATTTTAATTAAAGCTTTCCATACGAACTCAAGCCGATATTGATTCCTCGAGTGTGGTTTACTAACCTTTGGACATTTCGCCAAGGCTGGATTGAATGTTAATATTATTTGAGCAAAACTTAACAAAGAGAGAGTTTTCCCCGACGCTGCCATGTTTTTTCAGTGGTAAACGGAATTGAGGCAGGAGAGATGCGGATCTTACTCTTCAGGGACCCCTCAGTCGGCGGGACATCATACCAGGGGTCCTGGATAGGTTGGCCGAAATTTCCCCCCAAACTAATATATGTCGCTATGACCTCTCTTCCTAAGCATGTGTCCATTTACCCTCATTATCTCATGCACTGGTAACTTGGATGACTTTAGCATGACCCGAAGAAGTTCATGACAACACGTAGCGGCGGATAAGAGGATAATAGCAGGGGTAACTTTTTTCAGACATTATTACGCATTCAATACCATTTAATTAGTTCTGTTACCTAATCAAGGAAATCTATTGTTTGTTTCCATCTAACAAGACTCCCAAAAGACTTTTTAAATCACTACTTACAGTTAAATTATTTTACTGTTCTTAATTATTCTGCACTTCTAAACATTAGAAAGATCCTTTTTGGAAACTACTAACTAATTTATTTATTTTCTTTATATTAGAAAGTTACTATGCATTTATTAATTTGGATGCTGCTTCTGCATGCTTTTAGCCATTACATGCTTAAAAATTGTTGCTTGGAGTCTATATGTAGCATGGAATGACCACTGTAAAAACTAACACTTCATTAAAACAGACACTCTGCTCTGTCTCTTATGGTATCAAATCACATTACTTCCAAAAAACACACCATCTTGTATTATGGTCCTCTCACAAAATAACACTCTCAGTAATACAGAAAAGTCACTTTGAAAAAAGTGACAAGGAAAAAAATAGAAAAATTAAATTTATCCTTATTATTTCTGAAGAATTATCTCAAAAAAGAAAATTGTTCAAATAAATAACTTTCCACTAAATCATATGGATGGGATTATTCTAAGGGAATACTATTTACGTATGACATCTAAAGTACCTCACAGGAAACAACAAAAAGGAAATCTGATTTAACTTATTTCAGTGTAAATTATTATAACAACAGAAAATTCTTTTATTTTCTCCTTTTACAACATAATAAATTGTGTGGTAGCTATTTTCAAAATCATATTACTGACCCATATCATATCACTGACCCTAACACTTCTAACAAATGTGCCATAATTTGGTGAAAGCTAATTGTGCCCAAAAATCTTAAGCAATATGAAAACACTTACTTTTCAAATGTAATAATGAGATTGCATTTGCTGTCTCATCAAATTAATTTCATAAATCATGGTGCAAAGTGGCTATCATTCCAATCAAACTACTAACACTTACACACCACTGCCACTTACATGTACAGTTTATCTGCAAAATTTGGCTTTACTCCTAGTGCATTTTCTGCTGATTACTTGTTTTTGCCTTATCCCCTGTTCAGCTCAAATTCTCTGAGTTATTTTGCATGCTAAATGAGTTCTTGTTATCTGTAAAAGATGTGATTGCTCTGCTCTTTTAAGACATAAATCTTATTCATAAACTATATTAAAATTAATTTCATTTCCACATCAAAATTATTCCAGCAAGCATGCCTTTGAAAAACCTTTTTGATATTAGGTGTGAACAATGCAGCTAAGAGCACTGTACTAATGAGCCATTTCTGAGATGCAAAAAGCCTCTGTTTCAGTGGAAAGTGCAAAGCTATTCATTGGAAAATTATTTTAATAGTTAAGTAACTGTAACCCATTAATACCTGAAAATTTTGCTCTTGGTCAAAATTAGAAAGTGAGGATTTTTAGAACTCAGAAATGGCCTATGTATATCACACCATAAAATGGTGCACATAACTAGTCTACTGTCTCTTTGTTTACTCTTCTAGGGGAACAGGTATTCCCATTTCACCTAACACTTCTTCTATACACTTCAACAAATGCTGCATATCAGCAGGATACAGTTTTCCGATGTTACCAATTCTGAAGCAGTCAGCAGTGCTTACTTTACCAGGGTAGATGACCTGGTCCTTACTGTTTAGCCGATTGTAAAAATCTTCAAAGTTGTAGTTTGGATGCTTGGGGTTGTAGTAGGAAGTTATAATGTACCCTTCATGGGTGTCATCTAGAAACTTCTTGAAACCCATTTTCCGCATGCCATCTTGAAGAAGGTTGCAGTTCTCCATGTATCTATGAGAATAAAAGGGAGTAACTTTCACAGACTTAAACATTACAAAAAAGGTACATATCTGTATACCAAACACCTGGCTTCTTCTCCTATACTGGTTATGATGATGCTATAATTCATTATGAAATATTTTGGCATAATCAGTTCACTTAGATAGTCTTTCAATCTCTAGGAATAAAGCTGCTCACCTGTTCGCTCTTCCATCCACTCCACCTTCAGCCTTGAACTCAGACAAAGCTCGTCGGAAAGCAAGCATGGCGTGAGTTGCTGGGGTGAACCTAAACTGGCCGTTCTGGTTAAGTCCTTCATACTGATCAACAATGTCCAGAGATAAACTACGTGCCCATCCTTTACATTTCTTCAAGGATTCAATATGGCCAATTACAAAGGAGAACCCAGGAACACCTTCTATACACTTGTTAGCTGAGCTCACCATGAAGTCAATGTTTGCTAGATCTAAATTGAGTGGAACTGCCCCAAAGCTGCTCATAGCATCAACAAAAAATGATGCATCTGGAGCATGTGCTTTCACAAGTTTTCCTACTTCAGCAACTGGATGTATAACACCTGTGGAGGTTTCACAGTGCACCATGGCAACATTGGTGATGGATTTATCACTTTTCAGGATTTCTTCAACTTTCTTTAAATCTACTTTGGAATCCTCTGCTCCGTGAAATACAACCTGAACAACAGATACACACCATATGAAAATTTACTCCCAGCACTTCATCAGGCCTTCACAGACCCAGGCATTCAGACGCAAAGCCCAGCACACTAAACAATAGACCACTGCGTTTCTCGCAATTCTTTATACTGGTTAAATGCAAAACTCCCAGCTACAGTTGGAAAGTTGTGTTGGATGCTCAAAGAAATATATCACCATTTATCTACCTATAACTGAATACTTGAAGAGTTTACAGCAGATGAAAGTGTTCATGTTTTAACTATATGGTCTCTAGTGTCTACATCGATGATCACAATTGACTTGCATGAAAACATGAACCCTTAACCAAATCAAAAGCAATCACATTTTCCTGGAGCATAAAGTTTAAACTAAACACCTTATTTCAAACATCTCTCTCATTTCCAATCTGTGACAAAAATTTCCACCCAAGGTATTATCTTTCCTGACTGAAATAAAAAATTCAGACTTGGATTGGTACATGTACATGTACATGTACATGTACCAGTACTATAAGGTTAACAATATTAAAAATGGAAACCTTCTCCAAAGTTAATTTAACCATCAGAGATCAACATACTCAAAGGAACTAGTAAAAACAAACCGTTTCTATCCCCGCAACTTCACAAATCTTCATCATTCTCTTGCCATAGGAACCACATTCAATAATGAAAACTTTCCCTCCTTCTCTGGGGGTTGTGGTGGTGAGTACAGCCTCCACAGCATATGTTCCGCTACCCTGAAGTAATACAGTGGTGAACACTTCAGGAGAAACACCAGCAATTTCCAAGAGCCTCGAACGAATTGTTTTCACAACCCGTATAAACTCCGTGTCACGCGAACCAAGGTCCCGCAGCATGGCCCTCTTTGTTTCAAAGCTGACGCCGAGAGGGCCAGGGGTAAATAACTTCTTGTCCCTGTGAGTTTCAAAATCTGAATGAAAGACATTAAATCACAGTAAGAGATTAACTATTCCCTTTATGGAGAGCTAAAGATCAAACAATTGGGTTACTGTACTAAAAAAAACTTGTAGTCAAAGTAACCTATTCAAATGTGAAATTGTCGTCATCGTGAGTAAAACAGTAAATACAAAAAAAAAAATTCACATACACACTCTGTCTTAGAACTCCTACCTCTATGGCATTAAAAACTTATTCTTGAAAACAGGTGTAGTTAATGTGGTTTAATTAATTTGCAGTGGAACCGTAACTGGTGTGTGATTTGCCCGATTTTTTTTTTAATCGAGCAATCTCATTTACTTGCGTGACGGCACAGGTCGACAGATATAAATCTTTGTGATGTGGCAAACTATTTGCATCGCGGTTAGTAATGCAAACAAATCTGTAAGGATTTTCCAAAACCTCGCATCCACTTCTGCAGAGAAAATTTCTTAAGACCAAAGAGGGCTTAAATAAAAGACAGCTTTGATTTATGTATGTACAAACTTCTTTCTACTCGGAAAAATACAGTTTACCTACTCATACCTGGCTCATCAAGACTCGACTTCGCAGAACACAATCGCCATGAACCACCAAGTACTTGAGGAGATCTTTTACAAGCACGAGCAGCATGCCACAAGGGCCTTGCAATTACACTACGAAACGCCATCGTTAAAAATTTGTTGGGAATGCAGTAGTTAAAAGACCTTACAATATCCTGGTACTTTCCACGCGCGGGCCTAATTTCTCAATGAAGTGTGGGCATAACGGTCATGCGCAAAACGATCTTCCCGCACACACACGGAAGCGAGAAATGGCCACCCGCGCGAGAACCGAAGCGAAAACATACACGGATGGACATTTGGAACTTGCTTCAGTCGATGAGATAATGTAGCATGGATTTCCGATAAAGTTGAAGCAAAAAGGAACAGTCTTCGAGGATTTCAAGTGGAGGATATAATTGTGCGACATTGAATGATCTTGTTTATTTGTGGGTAAAACTACTTCCTGTCACATGGCATTCTGAACAGTAGGCTTCCACACTGGCCGGAAATTCGCGGGATTAAGTAAATGTTAGACCCACTTACATATCATTTACCGGTAATCCCCTGTACATTAGTTGCAAAGCCGCTAGTTTTTATTCTCTCCTTGTTTTTGACCGTTTGCGAGATAGTGGACAGGTGCTAATGTCATCAGGATCAATACTGGTTGATAAGTGCGCTTATTCAAATGATAAGAGCAATAGCAGAGCATTCTTCTAGGCTATACATGCAGTACAGCTGCAAACAGAAAACAGATTGTGGTACTCTCCAAAGAAACTGCACATATGATGTGTAAAATTTTTCAGAAGTTTTTTTTCTTTGAAAAAACATGCCAATTTTTTAATGAATAAATCACATTTTAGAAGCAGGTAAGGATGCATATTTACTTATTTTGTTTAATCTATTGGCTTAACAGAAAGATAACATTTCCCCCCATAATCCCTAGATCAAAAATTACAAGATTTATTGTTTGCCTTTGGCAAAATATTTTCATGAATGTTATTGTTATTTCCTTTTGATCCAAATATATCTTGAGGCCAGTCAACAATCTTTCTCCTTTCCAGCTTTTTTTTGGTTTTAGTCATGCAACACAGTCTGGTGGAAAGATTGTGTTGCATTACAAAACCAAACAATGGCTTCTATGAAGATTTACCAATATGCATTGTCACTACTTCATTAATTTTCTGCCCTAAAGAATAGTTTAACAGGTTTTAAATTCCCATTGATATCATAATTACTTGGGAATTATGTCATGTTCCTTAAAAAATAATCATTGTTTAGCTTTAAATGGCAAATCTTATTCTATATTAAGGCTGAATACATACTGAGCTATTTACAGATATTATTTAGTACCAAGGTATAATAAAAATAGGATTCTCTATGCTAGTGATTTAGTTAAGGGGAACTTTACATAAGTTTAGACAGATGTTAATCAACTGGGCTATGTTAAGTAAACAGAGATTTCAATCTCAGGCAAGTTTGCCCCTGCTATGACCACCCACCCCTTTTAATCAGGCAGTACTACTCAGCCTGTTTGTACTTGATGGGAAGAACTTGTCATAGCAGGGAAAAATTTAAAGGTGGAGGACTTGAAATAAATCAAAATCTCTGTACACAACCTCCTCTCTTATGCATTTATTATTTCATCAGTTTGAAGCTTCAACATCCAACCCCTGGACTTTGAACTTTTGAAGATAGGTTTGTTCAAATTCTCACCCCTTGGGACAAACATTGTGTTCAAATGCCTTGCCCAATTTTTTTGGTGAAAATGGAAATCTCTATACACTGGCCACACTTTAAAACCTCGTAGACCTTTTCTTCTAAGCCATTGTTTACCTTTAACATACTCCATATTTGTATTCAGCTGAAAAGACTTGACACTTCCAGATCAAATTCCCCACCCTCACCAAGCAAGGTTCAAATTCCTCAACCCCAGGCACAGATGTCAGTCAAATGCCTGTAGGTTGCCCAAGGAGAGGATGTCGAAGTAAAAGAAAAATTAAGCGGCACAAAATAGTTCCTTGATTTCTTAGAGCTGTAAATGAAGCAGTTCCCCATGGCAGATTTTATACAATGAACAAGGTCTCCACAACAATTCTGCTACTGCAACAAAACTTTACATGGAAAAATTTGGGCTGAAATAAAAAAAAAGAAGAGCTGCACATGTTTAGTTCAAAGTAGTCACTGATGACCTTTCTCCTAATTGCTCATTAAAGATAAAAAAAACTTTATATTATGTCAATCATGCTGTTTGATTACTATTATTATTATCATCATCATTTTAACCACTCCCCTCCCCTTCACAAGTGCATCCTTTATCAAAACTTGCATGTTCATAAAAACTCCTATTTCCCTGTCACTGACTGTAAATATATATGAAAATCATGTGTGAACTCTGGTTTAACAAATGAATTTGGATGCGACCTTTGCAGTAGCGATTAACTCTTAAGCAGTGGTGAAAATAAGGCCTGGAAAAAATTCTGGCCTGTACAGGATCCCAAACAGGCCTGAATTATAGTCAGGCCTTATTTTCACTACTACCTAAGAAGTTTTTATTACAGCGAAGATCGCTTCCAAATCCAAGCAACCACTGTTGTATGGTTGGGATATATTCTGTATAGCCCAAGTTGCTCAAATAACTGGAGTTGAAATGATTTTTTCCAATACATACCATCTCCACCATGTTCTAGGGATCATATTTATGTATCATGCACTTTTCTTAAATTTGGCCAACAATTCGGTTCTAGTCTTGAAAAAGAGAACTTGTTTGCACAACATATTTTTGGTGACTACCACGCAAGTAACATTTAGCAAGGATATGTATGAAAAATTAATATAGTTGGCACGACTAGCATGCAGTTGGCTCTACTCTACACTTACATACTAACATTAAGCACAAGACAAATTTTCTTTCATAAAATAAAAAATGTGGGACACATTTTTTACACTCTTTGTATGAGCTTCTGAATTTCTTTTGATAATGATCCAATTCCTAAGATAGTTGATGATCTGAGAGAAACAATTATTTTGACAAAAAATAGACACATGAATACCTGGCCTAATGACAAGTTTTCCTCAAAATTTCCCAGAATATGTTTTGTTTAATGAAGAATTTCCATACTTTAAGTGAAGGCAAACCTACATCTATAAGTTAAAACAATTTTGACTACAACCTGTGACGCATTACCTCTACTTCCTCCTTCTCATTTGCCGCTACAAAAATCTAAATACCTCACTTTTCTTTTTTTTCTACATAACATTCAATTAACCATTTAACTCATATAAGTGACCGAGACAGAATCTCTCCTTACAGTATTAATACAATATCAACCAGATAAGTAATGAGAACAAAGAAAAATATCAACTTGGGATAATTAGTTGATCAAATACTAAATTCTCTGAACTAACATTATAAGAATTGTATGGTTGACAGTAAGGAGAATTAAAAATTTGATCTGGGAGTTTAAGGGTCAAGGTATTAAATGAAATCTATCTTCACAAAATTCAATAGTGGTAGAGAGGTTTTTACTGAAAAATGCTGCCCTATACAGTAAAAAAACAAAATATTGTAATTAAGCAGAGAGATTTCTCCTAGAGGTTACCCACAAAAGCAGAGAAGAAAAAAATTACGAAGCACTGAAATTCCTGTCAGCACTCTGAGCTTAAAACTTCAACCTTTATAGTTTTAAGGCATGACATAAAATCATTTGAGACAAAGATTACTTGTAGGTAAACAAGGCTTTATGTTTCCCATAATTTGATTTTAAAATAATTTCTTTAAATGAATCCAGTATGGATGTCATATTTTTCAGTCATATTTTGCAAGTTATTCAGGCTTCAAGGGAAACATAAGAACTGATGAACACATAAAACTTAAATCTTCAAGATCATTCAAAACAGTCTTGGCAGCAACGCTCAATTGTACTTTATGTTGTTGCGATGAAAGAGGTATAGTGACTCTTCCATGTTGCCACACTTTATTTGTGTCAGATGGTTTTTGTGGCTTAGGGCTGTCCAGCTTTTGAGGTTCCACTGATGATGAGAAAATATTCAGACCCAACAGGTCTGTCTCATACAAGGCTCTAGAGTCTGAAACTAAGCACAGTGATAATCATTACTTACCATCTCTTGCCATTTCTCTTATTCTATTTACAAACATGATGCTAATGACATTGCTGATCCTAGCAGTATGCAGGACGCATGTCATATGAACATTGTAATAGATCTCACTCACTGTAGAGTCTCTGTGGCTCAGTGGTAGAGCATCGCAGTGTGGAATCCAAAGGTCTGAGGTTCAATTCCACATAGGGACTCAGAATTTTTCTTTGTCCCACGCTCATGACAAGATGAAAAACACCTTTCTCTATTTCTTTACTGAGCTCAAAACTTGCTATCTCTCTTACTCTATTTACAAAGTGATAATCATGATATAATATAACTTGTATAGCCCTGTTAACCTGGTTTATAAAAACAATGTCAAAACATTCCCTTGTTAGGGGACGTATGCAATGGTGTGAGCAGGGCTGGAAAAAGCCCCACATATCAGTGTACATTTGTGCTAGAAAAAATATAAACAAAATGGACAAGAAAGAGTGGTATAGGATTTATAGCAAATTAAAATGCACAGTGCATATAAGTAAAAACAACAATGCATACCTGTCTTTGCATCTGAGGTTTGAGTCCTACTGGAGGCAAAGATATCCAGGTCAAGGGAAGATGGTTCAGATGTAGTAGCTGATACACTATCTTTGAAATCTGTCAAAACATGTTAAATACCAAAAATACATTGACATTAAAATGCTTTGTACCATTACCTACTGTAAGTGTGATAACTACTATCTTGCAGAGGAAAAACTTCAAGAAGCATTGGGACCTGAGCTAACCTCTTCAGCATGTCCAATCTTTTATCTCACTCCAAGCTTCCTCCATCTTGCCCATACTTAAGTGTAGAGAGAGTGCTTTACTGGAACATTTGACCCTCCCATGCCCAATAATATACCTATTCCACATGCCACAAAATCTTTTCCAAATTTCAGTTATGGCCTAGACCTAACCCTAAACACATCTTCCTTCCTTGTATATGTAACAAGGTTAGGATTGCTTCTCTTCTATTCCTTGAACAAAGAAAAAAACATTCTACTGACCTGATTTTGAAGCAGTGCGTTTCAGCCCACCACCCAGCACAAACTGAAAACAAAACAATTTCCATATCAAATCTTAGTCCACTATGTCAAAATAGATTATATTAATTAATTAAATAAATTACTCCCAGGCAAATACCATTTTGTATACAGTGTTAGGAAATATGTGTGGATGCAAAGTTTTGAAGGGTGGCTTTTTATTTACTGATAACTTTGCGGACATCGCAAAATTTTCAACAGACAAACCACTTCAGGCAGTAACAAGGGAGAGTTTTAAATCTTCACTGACTTGAGTTTTGAGAAATACTTAAATGTGCACCCATATAAGTATCATGCATTTAAACACCCAATTTTCTTATGTCACAGACAAAACTTACACTTAGATCTGGAAGACCCATTTCAGGGTGAACTGAATGATGGCCTGCAGTTATATCCTGTGCAGTGCTGTGGACTGCATGGTGTGATCCTTTCACAGGCTCTAAGAAATCCTGTGTCTGATAGGTGGCAGTGAATAGAAAAAAAGCAAAATCACTAAATTAAAAATTAGCGTTAATGGTAATTTAGCTATGAGCAGAGAACCAATTAAGTACAGCAAGGCTTTGTTAAGACCTAAAAGCCTGTGTCTGACTTCTGATGCAGCACTATCACAGAAAAAAAAAAAAAAAAGCTTCCTTAAGTCATACAGGATGAATACACTGTAGTAGAGCTGTATAACAAACCAACACAGGGATAATAGCAATGTGTGTTAATGTGTTGCGAGGTACTGGTGCATAAGCTTCATCCTTTCCATATTGGTCATAATCCTAAAAAAAAATGTTATGGAGTCATCTTACCAATCCAATTGAAGAATTTGACAATTTACCAGGAGGTGCAGGCATCAACATTGATCCAGCCTACATGAATGAAACATCATAACAAATATATCAGTCAATTAGATAAATTAAAAACCCTTAAGGTGACAACATCATTTGAAACCAGTTTGGGTGATTGAAATCATGTGACAGATTATCAGATAATTGAGGTTGTAAAACAACCAAATGCCTGGGAACTTGATTTGAAGAGGCTTCACAAATAGTTCCAATATGACAGAGAGTTTTAATGTTTGCCCAAAGCAACTTCAAATGATTATTCTTGAATCTTACCGGTCCACCTCCAAAAGGTGGAAACTGTGATGACACAGTGGGTTTCAGCATGGATCCACCCTAGGATCACAAGAAAAATAAAACTTAGAAATTGCCTTTATCCATCTCAAAGTTGTCATTCCACTAACTAGTTGCCTCTGATTTTCATTCAAAGATATTCACTTCTCTATTTTTGAAATGAACAGACCTTGCAATCTTGCTTTCAAAACTTACAAGTAAAGATCTAAATTTCTAAGAGAAATGTAAAATGTAGTGCACAGTGGTAGATGCAGAACTCTAACCTGAATTGGAGGAGGTCTGTCTGGTCGTATCCTCAAGGACAAAAATTTTTTGTGTTGGATGAATGAATTCAACCAATGAAAGGGTATTCTGCCTTCTTTATCAGTACGCTCCAGTTGGTACCACAATCCCAATTCACTGAGGAGAAATGAAAAATTTATTAAAGTGACCCAAGGTATCAACAACTTGATCAAGGTGATAGTGAAAAATAGTTTGGTTGACTTTAAAGGAAAACCAGATGAGTTGTTGTAGTATGCTAAGACAACATCTTTAATTTGTTAATAACATCTTCATTTCCAGATCTCATTATAAGTTGTCCTTTCTATCTGCCGTACAATGCTTATGATATTTGTTAGCAGAATTTGGTATCAGATCAACCAATAATCCCTTCATTGATATTTTTCTTTATTCTCATCACCTGTCTGATTGATAATACACTGTTATTGTAAGGAGAAATTCTTTCTTGGTCAGTACTTTGCTCATAAAGAATGGCAACAGTGGAAACATTTTGTTTAAAAGTTACTTTGGCGATCAATTTACTCTATCAACGTCACCATGGTGATCATGAAAGTGTCACTGCTACACTAGTGCATCCCTGCAACTATAACAAAAAAAAAGTTGTGGTTACCAAAACAAAGCACCCACCTCTGAAAACCTTTCTTGACTTTCATAGAAAGAACATCACATTGACTTTGTGAAACATGCTTCACTTCTGTGGTAAAGCACAGAGAAACAGGATCTTCCACTTGTTTTATGGCAACATTATTGCCAGGAGCAAAATACAGACTTTCTCCTAACTTTTCCTTAGGGACAACAGTCTCTCTAGGGGATTCCATAAGAGTCTTAGAGGAAGGGAATGAGGCAAAACTACTGTCATCTTCCTTACTTTCACCACTGAAATCACCAAAATCATCATCTTTGTTGGAGTCATTAGCATTTTTTGTCTTTTCAATATTTTGCTGCCAATCTGAAGTTCCGTCTTTAGACTTGGCAACATTGCCTAAGTTCTCGTCTTTCTTCTTTGGCAGGTCTGTCACTTTTGATTCAAAACTTCCAAAGCTGCCAAATTCACCATCACTTTCATTCTTTCCTTGTGAATCCTTCGCATTGGAATCAAATGCTCCAAAATCTCCAAAGCTGCTGTCATTGGAATTGTGTCTCTGATTAACTTTGGTATTTGACTCAAAATTGTTAAAGTCACCAAAGTCATCATTGTCCTCATGCTTTGGGGAGTTTTTGGAATTACTGCTTGCAAAATTACCAAAATCTCCAAATTCATCTGTGCAGTTGTTACTATCAGTTTTCGAATCTCCACCACTTGATCGAAATGTACCAAAATCATCAAGATCATCATCTTGATCTTCAGCTGTGGAATTTTTTCCTTCCAATCTAGGAGAGCCAAACTCTGTAAAGTCATCCTTACTGTCTTTATCTTTTTGAAGCTCTTCAGCATTTGAATCAAAATGATCAAAGTCACTTAATTTTTCCTTGTCTTGATCTTCTGCAGGAAACATTTTCCCTACTGAATCAGAAGTACCAAATTCCCCAAAGTCATCATCATCATTAGCATTGTTTTGGGGATCTCTTGTACTTGTATTAAATACACCAAAGTCACCAAAATCATTTTCGACTTGATTGTCAGATGGTAAAGTTCTCTCTTCAGAATTTGATATTCGAAAGTTTCCAAAGTCATTATCATCTTCTGCCACACCATTGTCATTGGGTGATCTTTTTTGTTTAGAGTCCTCTAGAGCAAAATCTGCATCACTTCTAGAGCTTTGATCAAAGTTTTCATTAAATGAACCAAAATCTCCAAAGTCATCACCATCATCATCATCAACAACACAATTCTTATCTTGCACAAGAGTGCCTTTTATACATGATGAATCTATGCCTTCTTGACTACCAACAGATTTTGAGATTCCAGATGAATCAAGTTGTTCATTAGATTGCTTCTCATCATCATCATCGTCATCACCTAATGATGGTGGTCTCAAAGAAAAATGAGTGAAGTCAGTAAACTCATCAAATCCATCATCATCTGAATAATTGTTCTCATGTTCTACTTCAGCACCTGAACCATGTTCAACTTTACTAGAATCACTCATGTTTGTCTTTGTAATGTTTATCTCATCAGGTTTTCTGGATAAATTACTGCCAGTCTTTTCATCTTCTTCAATGTTTTCTTGGGTCTTTGATTCAGCTACAGGTGAATTTTTTAGCTGTGCTGAGTCTTCATAATTCAAGATGTGGTTAGAAACTTTCCTCTCCTGTTTAGATGATGGCATCTCTTTATGAACATCATAAGTATCCTCATTTAACTTATTGTAGAATTCTGGAGTACCATTAGCTCTTGTTTCTCTTAAATGGCTGACTGCTTTTTCATCATCAAAATCATAATTTGATGCAACACCTGATGTTTCACTTTTGTCACTGATTCCATCAGATTTCACTTTGTCCTGCACGCAAGTTCTTCCTTTAATTTCAAGGTCTGTCTGAAGTTCACTACTCTTGCTGTCACTTTCTGATGAGGTCAGTTCAGACCTCACTGAAGGTAACTCTGTACTTGTAAATTCTCCAAATTCATCATCAGATTCACTGTCAAAAGTACCATTACTTGGCAGACCTTCATTTCTACCTTCATTTTTGTCACAATTGTTTAAGACATCAGCTGCTGAATCACCTTGATTAAAACCGCCATTGGCAATGCTTTCTGGATTCAGACTGTCCCTATTGTCCCCAAATGCTGCAAAATCGGCGAACTCGTCATCAGTGGCTGGTTGACCACTTGCTGTTTCCACGCTGTTTCCATTTGTATTACTTGCGAACCAGTCTTGTGATTCTCCGTTATTTTCCTGTTCAAAAGCGGACCCAAAATCGGCAAAACCAGCAAAGTCGCCAAAATCCGAATCCTCTTGTTCTCCTGACCTATTCTTCACGTTTGTTAAGTTGCCATCGCGCTTTGATTTATCACTGATTTTTTCATCACGGGCGTTGCTTCTCTTAACCGAAGCTGCTACATTATCACCATGGTACTCTTTTGATTTATTTGCTTCATTTGGGAAAACGATTTCGTCATCATCTTCGTCGTACGTGTCGTCTAAAGGAGGTGGTGCATCCGCTAACACGGTGGAGAAATTCGATCCATACAATTCCGAGTTGTTCACACCGTAATACCACGCCATTTCTTGCCGTTCCGAGGAAGGAAACAGTTCTAAGTGTCATGGCATTCTCTTCCTATCTGATGAAAACTTAATAAATAAACTACCTCGTGGAAAATCCTCGTCAATTTTTATCAAAGAATTCAGAATATTGTTCGCCAATGCAACCCACAGTTCAATCATTGAAGGACATGCAACTGATAACTTGATGATGTTACTTGGAAGAAGAGAAGCAAATGTAAGCGCACTACAAGCTGAAACGTCCCCTTCTACTCCCTGAGATGAGTTTTCTTGATTAAAAATTTCTCAAAGTAATTTTTCTTGTCGATGAACAGTGTTTAAGCGATGTCACTAATTGTCATAATGTGCATCAACTACTACCGGGTCATCCAGCGCCATTTTGTTGACCCATGATGCCTTGCAACTTCTTGTGTGATGTGTAGCATGGGTATAGTGGGGAGGGAGGACTGGGAGGATAGGTTGAGGTGCTCAGGGGGTCCATGTCAGTGAATTGCCTGAATTTGAGCTCACAACAATGCCAATTAGTATTGGTCTTCTCTCTACAAAAATAATGCAAATGAGATTATTTGAGAACTTGTTTCGAAAAACTAGAATGAAACAATATGAATTAAGCGTTTTTGACAAACATGTCATGGCTGAATATCTTTTGTTATAAGGATAAATTGACAATTTTAAAATTTAAAGGTTACCAAAACAAGTACCCGTGACCAAGTTCCTGTCGTCTCTGGCGATTGGGGTGGCTTGTAGGTCACGTACTGATATATTTCTGCCCACAAGCATCGGTAGCCAACCGATGTTAATTATTTCATTCATATATTAAAGTTCACACGGCAACCAGGTGGACAATCAGACATATGAATAAAGGGGTAAGTTTCTAAAGAAACTGTGGTGCTGTGTCGGTGGGAGAGTATAGCAGGTAATTTAGTGTTAACAACTGGGTTGAAAACGTAAATTAGCCACCGTAAAGGGTAAAAAAGCTGACGTTTCGAGCGTTAGCCCTACGTCAGAGCGATGACGAAGGGCTAACGCTCGAAACGTCAGCTTTTTTACCCTTTACGGCGGACAATCAGACATAGTTTGATGCTACTCTGGTTTGCAGATTTAATGAATGTAACCGAAGAAGTTACAATTCATGGACCGAACGTTTCGACACTCCTGTCTAGTGCCTTCATCAGGGGTGATCTAGACGCTGCAACAAGAGGTCCTTTTATGTGATCACTAATTAGCGGTCTCTTTTTCTGACGAGGTGTAAATAGACGTCAGGAAGCAAATCGCCATCGTCACGTTAGTTAGACACGTATGCTCCGATAAAGCTGAATTTGTTGTTCTTTCGTGACAGGATCCTTAGGTTTGGCGAAATAAATGGCGTGCATTCGTTGTTCTTTCGTGACAGGATCCTTAGGTTTGACTTTGGGGCATATTTTCAAAACTATGTAGCATCAAACTATGTCTATTTCATTTATACTCTAAAAGACCATTTAAAATCCGCTCTATGAAGGACGAGATCACTCAGCTGACGCTACACAACTATATTTACACACAACATCAGCAATAGTTGAATGAGACCTCCTTTCACACCGACATGATGTGAGATTGATCATGAAAAGCCGATATAGAAAAAATACTGCCTTGTTAAATATACATTTTATTGTATCAGCAGAACAGCAAAGCTATTTTGTAACAAAAAAACTGTCTGATAAGGCAATGAAGTAGGAGACTAAAGAAAATATTTCTTAAATTTTGAACCCAGAATCATGCAGTACTATACCATTATCAGGAGTCATATAAAGCATACATACAAAATAAATAACGAATTCACGAAATAACCTTTTTCGGGTCTTGTCCTTAATGGCAGCCTTTGTTAACTTTAACTGCTTGAAAAGCATTTTTACAGCTTGTGGGTAGACTGTACTCTTTCATATGGAAATTTAAGCGCGTAAATACTTAGATAGGCAGCGTCAAACCGTGCTACAAACCACAGTCCGTGAAACGTCTCATTTAAGACACCCAGGAACCCGAAAGATTCCGCCATTCACTCTTGTGCGTTTTGGAAATACTTCTTGTAGCCGTTGATCATGCTTGCTCGCAGCCCATTGAAGCCTCGCGGAACAGCCCGGCTAAGCATCCATTCCATCCTTGTCTTGGGCAGCCTGCCGTTGTAGTTATTGTTTGTTAGGCTGAACACTTTACACGCCGCTTCTGGTCGTTCGTCGT